TTTAATCTACTGAACCTGTATTATGCACGAGAGCTGGACGTCAAGCACTCCTGTTTCTTTTCATGTAAGTCATGTTAAAATTCAAAATTCAGTTATGATATTTTGAAAGAAAATTAGGCAGCTTTATCTTGGCCCGCCAAAGGTGATGTTAGTTTCGGGAAATATACGCGGGCGAGATTTTCATTCGATTCACTAGGGTGACGTCGGCTCATAACTTGACTGAGAGAGGACTCACTCATGCCTTAACGTTTAAATCTTGTTGTGAAGTGACATATTATGTAGTATATTAAGAAGCCATATAAAAACTTATCCTTGTCAAGGGAAATAGTATTGGGAAGCCGAATATTGGCCTATGGAACACATCGATAAAAATTTGTTGGTAAAACTACCATCCATATATTTCAAACTGAATTCGCAGTCATTATCGAAGAATTTTGAAGATTTTAAAGTTTGAAATGAGATTTATTAAGGGGCGCTTTTTCTTTAAACGACATTTTAAGATCTGAAAACTCAGGAATTTTTAAAGAACCACCTCAAATCGCTTATTTATCTATATTCAGTTATTTAAATTTATGAATCAATTAATGCTTTGACTGCAAGACACGAGATTGCGAGATACTGTCAGGAGATTTTAATTCACACAGCAAAGGCCGCGACTATCGCGAACTGAAATTTCATATTTTACAGTGAGAAAATCTAACAAGGTCGAGGTTGCTATGGTAGCACTGCAGCTTGCAAAAGATTATCGATAACCTGAAGGTCTTTTCCTAATTTGAGACTTGTTCTCTGAACTCGCGGTTTCCTTTTGGTGGGGAATTTGTTTGGATCCGGGAAATAGGGGGCATGTTAAAGCTTAGGGCACATTTTAAAGTTTGTAGCCTTCCTCTTCAAAACAATAGCGTACAATGGTCCTTATCAGCATGACACAGACAGTGAATTTTTTCAAAACTGATACTTTCAAGTTGAAGAGTACTGACCTACGATACTCTCTGAAGTTACGGCTCATTTGAACGCCTCCGGTAAAATTTATGGTCTTATTTACTTTTAACGATTGTCGTAGCGAACTAACAGTCTGTTGTCAAAAGTGGAAAGGAGGAATTGATATTATTTTACATAAAAGCGGAAAAACCAAAGAAATAGCAAACTTATAGTCTACAAAGAAAGCGCTTTAGTACAGTAACGATAAAAAATTAAGGTCCCTAATTCACAGCGACATAAATTGTATTTATAAATCGAAAGAAAAACTTCCGAGCGCCCACAGTGCTGCAAAAAAATTATCGAAACTTTTGTAATTCAAATAAAGTTTGAACGCCTTGGGGGAATTGATTTCTTGCTTCATTTGTGGTATAGAAAAAGCAATATTCTTAGAATGATTTTAAAGTCGTCATAGGAAATTTGTCAGAAGGAAATTAAAAGGAAAACATATATTTTTCAATACTTTTGAGCCCACAACAAATTAAGGGGACTTCAAGCAGCCGGCAAAAAACAGTGGATATTTCATTCTGGTTCACGTGCAGTCAGTTTCAATAGAAGCTAAAACATCGACACCATCGCGGGTAAGAGATCGTTTTGTGAGGCACGAAAAAAAAGAAAACCTTCTTCCTTTTTCATTGCGTAGTCATTTAAACGGGTTTATCTTTCTCCTAAATTGCATGTGCATTGACTTCAACTGCGCAAAGAGAAAGTCTTTCTTTCTTCCAAAGAGTTTATACAGCCTTAATGGACCGTATCACCGTATAACTCATTGAGTGCTTCTCAAACAATATTCTTTGTAGCTACACGTCGATAAACTCAGTCTGGATTAAATATTTGAAATGGAGGCCTGATACGGGAGGGTAGTTCAATATTGGCTTGCCGTAATTTTGATTAGCTGACCTCTGGAGGCAATTATCGCAACTAATACAGCTCCTAATTTTCCCCAACTCGTTCAATTTGAAGCAGAAAGCTAAAAATTCTATAATTTATGCTGCTTGAAAATGAAGTTTTTTTAATTTTTAAGGAAAATTCATGTGCTCTCTCGCCGGTCGCTTCTCTATTTCTTGCTGTCGCACCGTGATCCTGAGACCCAGCCACGTCAAAACAGCTGTCCGTGCGGATTGGGTTCCATCGATTGGAACTTCGATTTCAGTTTGGAAGTCTACCGTGTCGTTACGATGGCGTGTTATGTTTTTCTACGCAGTAACGGAGATTCTGTACTTCAGCACAAAGCTCAATCAAATTTTGAATCAAGGGAAATGATCCGCGAAGTATACGAAAATAATTGATCAAAAGCCACGCAAATCAGAGAGGGGGTCGAAAACTCAAGATATAATTGAAATAATGCGACTTTGATGCGCGTCGAACTGCGAGTGATTAGTCTTTCACCAGCAATTTCTAAGTGGTATTGTGTTTCTTCGGCTTAATGCATGGAGATCAATAATTCCGTGATCTAGTATTTACCGCTGATGCCATCTGAGAAATCTGTAAGCAAGGAAAGACTGAAATAAGCCACATCCTGTACTGACTCATAACAAATCTAGCTCCCTAGATGGATGGCAAAGATAGTTGTTTACTGCAAAGGTACACATCTAATGTATTAAATGGGATAATGTCTTAATATCTTATGGAAAACGAAAATGAATTAAGATTTTTAAATAATAGATGAATTGCTAGAACTGGTTTAAAGTACATGAACATATCAGAATGCTATATTGAATAGTCGCCGGCAAAAGAAGGAAAACTCATTGTCATTGGCTCAGTAAGAATCAGCACGAGAGTGAAAACAACTTTGATCTGAATGTTCTTTAAAGCTTTGAAGAGCTGTTTCCATTGTCCGTGTTTTTCTTAAAAATCAGGAAATGGCCCGCGTGAGATATTGAATAAAAGCTGTCCATCTATAATACATCGTTACAAAGGACCTGGAAACTGCAAAACAAAAAAAGTAGAATTGCTCGAAATGGCAACCCAAGAACGTTACATAATAACAGGAATTTCAGTGCAGTTCACAGTGTTACAAGAAAAAAAAGGAAATTCATATTCGCCCAGTTTTCCTTCATGAATGAAGAACTTGTTTTTGTTTTTTTTTTCTTTTCTGTCTTTTCCGGTAAGTTACGTCATGCGTTATTTTGAATTTCTCAGTATATTTGATGCTCCGCCGAGGTTGGCCAGTTTCAGCTTTGAGGATCTGTTTTTATTTTCGATGTTTTCCTTAAAAATCTGACATGGCTCGAGGACCTATCACTCTTCTCATTTGCCAAAAAGTGACATCGGAACCACAAAATAAACAGAGTGAAAGGGTAACCTAGGAAATTCTGCGAAATAACAGCATTAGAGCTAAGCCTAAATAATCTGCTCGATCGCTTCATTTTTAATCTTCGCCTCCCACGTAAGCTAATTTGGGTTGAGCCAAAGGTTGGGCCTTTTCACACCCTTCTTCATCCCAATCAAAATGCGGAAAACAAGATTAATAGCGAGGAAAAATATAATCCTAAATCTAGTATTAGATCTTTGTATAGGAATACTAAAGCAGGATGCGAAGTTAGAGATCGTTTTTCGTTGATTGTCTGTGGCCCAAATGTCAGATTTGGAACAAGGCGGAAAGCGTATTAATTGTGTAAGGAAAGATAATCTGTCAACTTACAATGAGATCATCCGCTATGAATAATTTGCAACATGGGTACGTCTTGCTGCAAGACGCGGCGAATACCTTCAAGATCTCGGTGCCTCGAGTAGCAGGTTGAACTTTACGACAAGTCAAATTATTTAAAATTTCAATGAGGTCATTGGGGGGAGAGCTGCAAAAAAGAGAGGGTAGAAAGATGGAAAAAAGTAACTTAAAATTAAGGAAGAAGACTACCTATGAATTAAATGTGAGGCAGCTCAAGATATTTTGATTTGAAACTGAAATGTTTACGTCTGTAAAGCCTGGTGCACTTTCAACCTCAATAATGTCAAAAAATGTTTTTGGAACATAGCGGGGCGTTCAAGTCTCGCTAATTTCGTATGCTGCTTTGTTGAGACCACTTTTTTTCAGCTGGATATCATTTATCCCAGTCTGACTCTGCTACAGATCTCTTGCTCTCTTAAGAAGTCTGGCCTAATGACAGCCTTGAAAATATGAATGCTTTTCTAGCTCTTAAAGGACAAGGCATTCTGAATTATAACATCGAAATGCGTGTATCAAAATAAGTTGTTATTTATGAGATGCAAATAAGTATTGGAGGCGATTTTCTGAAATCTGGCATCTGTTTGTGTTTCTTTGTTGTTTTTTTTTTCTTTCATTTTTCCAAAGTCTGTACGATAATTAAAATTTCATCTTCAGTATTGTAAGACTTTGACACAACAGCGACATAGGGTGCACTAGTTCCTCTTTGATTCGTGGCTCACACTTTATTATGAAACAAGTAACAGTAGGGATGACACTTGTCATGATATTTCCATTACCTAAAACAGGTCAATGTTTCCACCCTTCTGAATATTCAATATTCGCAACAGTTTTTTTTATGCCGGCTGCAGGAAGCAAAGAAGAAGCTTTTTCTAACTCGTACCAAGGGGCAAGTTCTCCCAGGTATTTTTTCAGGGTATGCATTTAGATACATACATACTTTGACGTAAACGCGACGAAACTAATTTGGGCCAGTCACCACAACTCCTCTCGCAATTCCTGTTGTTTCAGACCGTATCCAGTAGAGATTTATTTTTCAACAGAATTTGCAAGTTATGACAGACTAAAAAACGACAAATCAAACGACCCTATAATTCACAAGTTCAGCTTACCATTATCTTCATTAGTCGATTGTCTTTTACCTCTATAAATAGTTTAAAGATTCTTTTATGATAGTCTGCAAAACAAGCCCCTGGGGATGAAAAGGCTAGTTTCCGCATCATTTCAACCTTTCAGTTTCAAAATCTCTCCTTGAGGTCAGACCTTCAAAAACAGATTATTTACCTACGGATATCATGCTCAGCGGGATATCTAACAAGTCAGCCTATCTTTCGTGTTACAGATAAAATTAGTGACTGCACGAAGCCCATTAACCGAAGCAGCTGACGAGAAAATCCGTCCGTAGACTAACATTAGGTTTTGCGCTTTCGATAGGAGAAACGTGCATCGAAAGGTAAGCGAGCGTATCGACTCAAATTGTTTATGAAACATGTCTACATCTGTGCCGCTGTAGCGAAATTAGTAGAATGTTTTACTTCACGGAGTGTTAAAGTATCCAGTGTAATAAGGAAGAGTAATCTTTGGCATTTTGAAGAGCCTAAAAAGCATTTTTTACAGGTAAAGGCTTATTAGTTGCTATCCAGCCACGTCTTCTACTCAGTATTGAAAGAATTCTAAACCAGCTCATGTATTTTATGAATAGTAACACAACGATTTCAAGGTGGAAATTTATCCCCAGCACTGACTCACTAAACAAAAATAACAGGAATTTAAGGCCATCTTCTTTCGTAACTTGAATAAATTTTTGATAACTTGAATTCCTTCTTTATCTCAGTCTTACGCCTGATTAATAGCTTTGTTAAAGAGATAACATAATCACTTGTTCTGCAAACTGGCTCAGAAGTCTGTTCCGTGATCGCGTGCCGTTTTCTCAATGATGATGTTTCTATAGAAAACATATACTTTACAAGTATCAACAAAAGGCTAATAGCGTTAATGCTCGAGATTTTGAGGTAAACCAGGCATGGCTTGCAAATTAGTCAGGTTTTCTAGACTCTTTGCGGCTTTAATGTTTGCTCTAATTGAAAGTAAATTACAGCCTTGAGGGCATGATCTTATTTACTTGAGCCTTAATTCTGGCTGTAATCTCTAAAAATTTTTTTCACCTACACTGTCACACTATTGTTTTGATGATCACGAAGCGAGTGTACTGAAACGACGCTGTCAGAAGAAAAGTAATTTCACAGAAAGCTGCTAATTGTAGACTGCTAGTATGATTTCAAGTGCTTAATTAATGTGTGGAGACTAATTCTGTGCACTTACTTCATTTAGATGTCTCAATTATTTTGAATTAAGCGATTTCTTATCATCAACTGATTACATATAAGTTGTTACAAACTGACTGTGTCTGTTTATCATTCGGTTTCGAACCCTATCCACATGTACGGTATCGAAAGCACAGTTTTGATGCATTTTTCCATATCATCCATCCCGAAAACGTTGATGGAAAAGGAGTTTTTCGAAAGCGGTTCTACAAAGAACTCGGGCCGTTACTGGTGTAAACAAGCAAGACGGAGGCTTCTGCCAGATTCCATTAACATTTTGGGTTGTTCTTGTATGGACAACAGACGAGAAAGTATCAAAAGATATGTGTTTTTAAATAATAGCACAGCGATATGGACAATGAAGGCGAATATTTAAAAGGGATACGCGAGAGTGCGTTGGAATATTTTGGTTTGCTTTGTTCGAGACAAGAGAGACTCCCACAGGTAAAAAGCGCAGTAGTGCGGTAGGGGCCTCATAAGTGTGTATCACAGACAGCTGTCATTTCATGATTCAATGGCGAGAAATAATGCAGAGCCTTGGAGCGGAAACCGTTTCTACAACAATGATTTGCGTGTTTTCATGATAAGTTGATTTGATGCACGGGTTATCATGGAGTTGTATTTCTAATCTGGTTGCAATATGTAACCTAAACTTACCAATTGATTTTCCTCGTCTTGGCGCTTATCGTTTCATATTTATGGAAGAAAAGACCATTGAAAATAATAATCGGGTCTTTGAAGTAAAATAAACGACTTTGCTCGGTTTTATCAGTGCGGTTAATCTTATACAAAGTCGAGCTGCTCTCGGAGTTACGTAATGAGATGACTTCTTTTATCAGTTTTGTTTATCAAAGTTATTCCAACCTTGGTCGAAAACAGGTTGACTTCTATAGCAACGAGACCAAGGTTTCAGGCATAAAAGTTTAATTTTCATCGACCTTAAATGCAATAGATTTAACCAGCCATGGTTCAGTTTAGGAGACTTATAAGGATATGACCTCTCTCCTAGAGTAAAATAGTGCAGTTACCTCCCGAAATTAAATTCGTCACAGTCGTTCACGAAACATCAGATAAATTAAATACATTTTAAATCCATTTTACAAATTCTTAGATAAAGCCATGAGTTGTAATAGTTTTAACTAAAGGAAATCTCATGTTGTGATTGGCCGACGTGATATATTCGTCTATCAGCTCAAACATAGTTTAGTAGAAAAATTCAACTAAGGTTTCGTTTGATGAACCTAAAAACTTCTATGTAGGTGGTATCAAGGATCCCCTCGTCCGGTAGCGAATTTGCCGCCGCTGGGGCGATGTTGGAAGAGTTTCCTCGCATTGGAAATATCGTTTTCCTGAAAATAATACCAAATTGGTATTTTTTTCCCCGGAATTGTCTTATGAGCTTATTCAAGGAGTAACTTTTGATCGGTCGCCGTCTAATCAAACAATTTACAATTCATTTTCATGCTTTCAGTATTTGCCGAGGAGCGAAATTACCGGATTGCCTCCCCAGTGAAGACAAACTGCACAAAGAAATCAACAGAGTCTTTGACATGGAACGTTCTGTCTCTAACACTTCCAACGTCACCACCGACTTGGGAACCGAGCCTCTGGAGCCTGTTCTATTAAGGACTGTGGCATCTTTCGTGAGCGCCTCACTAATCTGCCTTCTGATTATAGGCGCCTTCATAGCAAATACTTTTGTGTGTTTAGCTGTTTATAAACAGCGCTCTGCTAGGCGGATAACGCGGTATTTCATTATTAATCTATGCCTGGCAGATATCTTCATTACAGTTATAAGTATGCCTATTTGGCTGATTTTTCTGCTGTACGGCAGCAAGTCAGCGATTCTTTATCTCGGCGAGACATTTGTCACGATTTGGAGACACGTGGACATCATGTGTGGAACAGCCTCCATTCTGAGTTTGACTTCAATCAGTGTGGACCGTTATATAGCAGTTTCCAGGCCCTACTCGTATGTAGAGACGATAACTACACGAAGGGCGATGCACATAATTGGAGGAATTTGGGTCTACTCAATGACTGTTGCCTTGTTGGTAAAACCACTCAGAGAATTTAAAGGTGGTAAGTGCAAGCGCTCTATTTGTTTTTTTCTTTCTCTTTTCGTCGTCATCTTCTTCTCCTTTAAAACCTGTAATTCTCCTTACTGTCAACCACACTGTGATTCTCATAATGTTAGTTCAGAGAATTTAGTATTAGATCAACTAATTATCCCCAAATTGATATTTGGTTGATATCTAGTTGATACTGTATTGATATTGTAAGGAGAAATTCTATCTTGGTCACTCATGGGAGTTAAAGGGTCAAAGACGCGAATGAACACAAATGCCGATTGAAAGAATAAGAGCCTTAAACTCTGTGTACGGGTTTACAAAGGTTTAAGGCTGTTTTTCGTATGTCGGGAAATTCCCACATGCATGGTCGACAGGGATTTCACTGTTCTCCAACCTCTCAGATTTTTCCAATAAATTAAAACTCCAAATTATAGACATCCCCAATTGTCTGGGATTGTCGGCGACAGATCGGGAAAGTCAGGAGCGTTTCTAATTTCCCAAAGCGTCCCAGATTTCTCGGATGATCTGCCATCATTACAGATATATGAAAACACCTAATTTTCAGTACCTTCGGGGATGTCGGTGATAACTAACTCGCTATGCTCGCGAACTATCTCCTAATTGCTTGGCTCCAGTACTCCCGAGTCGCAAATAAAGTGTCGTCTGCAATTCAAGGAGAGAAACGTCTGACGATTTACCAAAACCTCGGCGAAATCTGAGACGATCGGTAAACGGTGAATAGCTGATCGTCTAAGATTCTCCCGATGTACGAAAACCAGCCTTTAGACGATTTAAATACTGGACGATTAGTTAGCAGATATGCTGGACTCCCATAAGCCTGAGCGACTAAACTACCAGACGACTAAATGAATGGAGGACTAGACGATAGGATAATTGGTTAACGATGATGCGTATCTTTCCTATCCAGGTTACGCCATATTTGTCATGTTTGCAAGTTTCCTCCTTCCCTTACTAATAATCATTGCAGCTTACGGAAGTATGTTTCGCGTTGCTATGCGACACACACGTGGCCTGACCCGTAGAGAGGAAGAAGCAAATAATCATCACCACTGGCATAAAGAGATAAAGAGACACCTCAAAGCTGCTAAGACTGTTGCCTTTGTGATTGGAAGTTTTCTGTGCTGCTGGACGCCATTCATCATTGTGAGCGTTTGTTTTGCGTTTTATACGTTGAACCCTACCGGAGCGAGTGTCACCAAGTGGCTGGCGTATCTAAACGCTGTTTTAAATCCTGTGGTTTATACCTGCGTCGATAAACAGTTGAGGAGACTTGTGTTGAAGCGACTTTCTTTCTGTTTTCGTGGAAGGTTTTGGATGTTTTTCAAAGAAGATCGCTTTTCACGCTGTGGGACAGAAAACTCTACGCATATGAGTTCTGTGTAAATAAAATTTTTACTAGTATCATAAAAAATAGAAGAGGAAGCGGTAAATGATGACGATGATGAAGAGTAACAACAACAACAAGAAAAACTAACAACAGTGGGATACTTGTCAACATCTTTAGCAAATAAAGAGCGACAATTATTGAGCAGCAGCAGAAAAAAAAAGCCATCAACAACTAGCTGTTATCCTGAAAACATTTTAAACAGCAACAATACAGAGGCAAATTAGTGGAGTAACGCGTAAAGAACAACTTTAATAATAGCAATAACCACAAAGAACTGTGCGGAATACATAAATGAAGCAGATATCAGATCGTGAATTAAATTAACATCAGAACAAACGACAAGAGAAGCTAATTACCGCTAAAAATAAAAAGAACAACAACTAGAAAACACTACAAGTAGAAACAGTGACAAAAAATAGCCTTTCCTTTAGAGAGTCTGTTTGGAGTGGTCTGTACGATTATCGACATTGATATTCGTCATTACAGAGGTCAAACTATTGTGAATTCACAAATTGGTCAGTCAGATTGCAATGTTACTTCCAATTGTGGTAAAATATTTAATTTCTTAATATAAAGTGGAATAGCGGAAGAATTGTGAAAATTTGAGTGAAGCACTTCTTTTTAGTCTGTCTTCTCCGCGTTTCGTGAAGAACAGCCTTTGTCATATCGCAGTAGTCTTCATGAACAGGTGCGTTATACACCATTTACACTGCACCATATTGACTGTTGAGTTCTGTTGACTTGCGAGGAAAGGTTTCAAGAAAGAGCTTAGTTTTTAAGGGGATCAGCACTAGCTATTCCAGTAAAATACTTCAGGACTAAGGAGTGATTTTTCTCGTTTTAGCTTCAGCTGCCCTGTTTCGTGTTTCAGACAACACAGAGTTAAGCAAAGAAGTCAGTCATTCTTTTGATATCCTGAAATATGTCTTCAGAATGGCATCAAATTAATCCAAATTTTTGCATCTTGTTCACCTTTGTATTACTTGATTGGATACATCGTATATTTGCATGTCAGTTCTTTATTTATTGCTCGAGAATCGAGATTGGTATTGGTAGAAGTCCTTAGAAGGGTCTGCAGAAAGTGTTATTACTTTATTTATCTATAGGTATTTAGTAAATAACCCCTTCAGGCGCCTTGTATGTCGGTTAATAATGTCCGCGGCTGAGATATTATCCAAAAAAAGGAATATTTGGACGAGAAGCGAAGCTTCGAGGGCAAACGTGAAATTTTGAGGACAATCTTTCAACCAAGGACATTATCAGCTGACATACCAACAACCCAGAAGGGGTTTATTCATTTTATAATCCATCCACTCCCTATCACGTGTCGACAGCAAGTTTTGTTTAATTTATGATAGCGGAGCTCTAATCAGACCCGAAGTCGGACGACCCGGGTTCTGGTCCTGGCCGGGGCAAGGCGTTGTACCCTTGAGACGTGCGGGAAAAAAAAATGCGAGCTCCGCTTTTAGGCTTGGCTAAATCTATATATTACTTTTGAAGTAGCTTTGGAGATTACCTTTTTAATGTCACTGCCACTGGTTTTTAGAAACGAGTTTGTTTGTCTTCCATGTTAAGTAATAAAGATAAAAAAGTGAAACTCTTGGGCCTGTCTTTTTCTTGCTGACTTTTTTCGCTTTCGACGGAATAATCCGAGGACAAATATTGACGCAAACGAAGGTTACTGCATGGCAATTGTCCGGTGATTCTGTATCACGTGATGTAAAGTAGCCAATAGAATCGCGCGAAAATTAATGGGTGGGTTATGATCACAGATATTTTGCCTTCATCTGTCATTGATCTGTTTTCTTTCTGTTAGACAATCAATTAAGGGGGCTTGTTAAAATTAAAGGGTATTTTCTCTGTGAAAATAAATTTTTTTTTATTAAAAAAGAAGTCAGATGGAACTCCAAAGTACAGTTTCCTTGCGTAAGGGTGTCTTGCATTTCTCAAGTGTTACATTGTACCAATACTGACTAATATGTTTAACTTCTACACCCTAACATCAGTGTGCATATTCTCCATACTGTTCTTAATGCGTTTCCTAAGGTGCTGACAAGGACAACGTGGTTAACGACAGGGCTTCCTCAGTTGGTAATTATTTCCTCTCTTCTTCGTGACCTCAATGTTCGATTCAAGGGTGATATTGTAAGGTGAAGTGCAATGCTAGTCACCGTTAAAGGGTCAAAGGGTGAACAGATTGTTTCTACTCTTCCCACATGAGGAGCCACTCTCTAACCCGCAGAGCATAGGTCTCAACCTCACCCTTCCCCACGTATATCGAATAACTTGGCAATTGGCGCGCATTTCTCAGTGCACAATCACACAGCCTCGACCGACATATTAGGGAGTTTAACAACCGACGACGGCGACGCCGTGGACAACTTCGGTTAAAAAATAAATTTCTATTTCACCTACGAATTTTGCGTTACTCTAAAGTCATTTAGTTTGTTTTCTGCGATCAAAACTGCCTCGAAACTGAATGCGAAACACAGCAGTAAATCAAAAAAAGAAATGAAAAAAATTAGCCATCGCCGTTCACGTTCTCCTGACAACGCAAAATTGGGTCATTTCACGTTGCTGTTTTATAAAGGACGCAAAGAAATTTAAAAACATTTTAAACGCACTTAACTACGTATTTTCATGAGGTACATGAAGTGGAAACAAATAAAAATAGTTTCAGATGGCTGTACAGATGAGCGTGCTTTCCACGAAACCTCCGCATTTTTAGAAAGGAGAGAAATAGGGACGAGGTCATGTCAAACGGTTCTTGGCCATGTCTTCGAAACTATTCGAAACATCCACGGAAGTCCTCGGATACGATCGATATGATCGGGGTTACACTGAATTTTGTAGAACAACGATGAGCAAAGGGCAAGAAAGTGATGAAGGCAAGCCAAATAAACAAATCACTAACTGGTATTCTGTATCGAAACCCTGTGTGGACTAGAAGTATCCCAAAAGACATTACTGGCTTTCTAATATATAAAAATAACTCGGTGAATATCCCAATTACGATAAACTACTGACTTCCTGGTTTCTCTTTCCCGTTCAAAAATTGTAATGAAATCATGATTTCACTCGACGTGCGGATGAAAATCAAGCAAAGAGATAATCCACGCAAGTACAGGGGACAGCAATTTTAGCAATCGCTGAAAATAGGCCTGAAAATTTACCCTTCTGCAGGATTCAAATCCGTGCCCCCCAGTTGGACGCTATTAGCAACTGAGCTACGAAGCCACATGTTCATTGTTGATCTTTCTTCGTCGCCACATGTTCAGTCCTTCCCTCCTCTATTCATCATTTTTCTCTTTATTCTGTCCCTCTTCAGTTCTCTTATTCTCCTGCTCTTCTCCTTTATAAACAGGCAACAAGGTTTTACAGCATAAATTAGGCATCTTTATTAATCCCTAGTTTGATGCTATTTTAGTAACTTGCGTCCTCACTGTGTTGATTATTGAGTTAACTCTCCTTTATAAACAGGCAACAAGGTTTTACAGCATAAATTAGGCATCTTTATTAATCCCTAGTTTGATGCTATTTTAGTAACTTGCGTCCTCACTGTGTTGATTATTGAGTTAACTCTCCTATATAAACAGGCAACAAGGTTTTATAGCATAAATTAGGCATCTTTATTAATCCCTAGTTTGATGCTATTTTAGTAACTTGCGTCCTCACTGTGTTGATTATTGATTTAACTCTAATCCTCCTTACAGTGGACAAGGCTAGTAATCTGAATTTGGCCTAGATAAAGTGCACAATCGATCAAAAAATAAATAAATAAATAAAGGAACAACGATTTTTCTCAACAACACAAGTAATTTTCTAGGAAAGAGTATTTCTCTGCATAATTAGCCTCGACACAAAGATTTCGAAACATCACACCAGGGAATTTTCCCGGAAGTCAACGTCGCTGTCACGCAGTCTTAGTGATATGCAATTCTAATAGTACCATAGCGTCTCAACATTCGATAGCTTTCGTTTCTAAAATGGCGGTGACTTAAATGTTTTGTGATCGGACCTCGTGGATGGGTTTCAGACCCTGAAATAAAGCAAGCAATGGAGGTTGGTTTACGCGTTGTTCGTGGCCCCGATTGGATGTGGGGTGATCAAGACGGAGGCGAGGGAAATGTTGGCACAGTCGTCCATCTTGGCGGCGACGGAAACTTCCCTGAAGACACTGTTTTGGTGTATTGGGATTCTGGAAGGCAGGCGAACTATCGGGCAGGATATTCTGGAAAGTATGATTTACGAATCTTCGACAGCGCTCAAACTGGCAAGTGAATTATTAATTGATGTAAGAATTCAGAAATACATGCGAAAGTTAAAGAGAAAGACGTGGATTAACAACTTGCCATGCTATGCTAGAGCGAGTTGAACGATGTTGTTTATATTTTTGAAAGTGTTGCAACACCAATCAGACCCGGAATTCTATCTGATATTCGTCGATCCCCTTTGTAAAAGCGGATTCGAAGGCCAATATTCGATCGAATTTAAGGGCTACGTGAGATAAACGTTCTCCACTTCATGAGTACCTTATACTACGACTTGAAGGCGGAATCGAGATCACAAGTAACCATCGACCATATTTTTGTCCAAACAAATGACTGAAGAAGTTGTTGATCATAATATCCTCAGTCCTAGATCATTGAATTTGTATATTCCACATACTAAAGTTTATTACGAACGTTTTTTTGTGTAATAAATGTGAGTTTTCTTGTGGTGATGGCAAATTTAAGCATCTTTCATACTACAGGAAAACAATTGTAAAGGGATAGTAATGAAAATAACTCAAGTGAGTGATATTTGACTCTCATTTGTTCAGTAACTTTCCTTGTAAGTTAAATTAATTATGAAGGCTGCATATTGCTGAATATTAGGTTTCATAGCAAGGTCTTTCGAATGCATCACTAACAAGTAGAGGATAGAAATTGAGACGCAACGATTTGAATTATTATACTTGTACTGCCGTTTAACAGGTTTAAAGCACCCTCATGTTACATGTGATGGTTGTAAGCAAGCCCCCCTCGCTGGAATACGATACAAATGTGCTAACTGTCCAAACTATGATTTGTGTTCGACTTGTTTTGGAAATGATGTTCATGATATGCAGCATGAATTTTTGCGATTTGATCAAGTTCCTCAACAAAATGGGTAAGTTTCCCCTGTATCACTCTTTCTCCTCAGCTCTCTAGTTGCCTCTTGTTCCCTCATCTATTTTTAAGTTTTAATCATACTTTGTCTTTTTCCTTTCCTCCATTTTTCCCTTTACCCTCCCTTCCCTGAGAGCCCCTACTTGAAGTATACTTAAGATCTCATTAGATCTCATTAGTAATTCTCCTTACTAACTGTTGTACAATTCTTATGATTTTAGTTCTGAGAATTTGTTACTGAGTCAACCAATAATCCCCTAATTGATACTTCTCCTTATTCTTATCATTTGTCTGCTTGAAATCCTATGGATATCGTAGAGAGAAACTCTGTCTTGGTCACTAATGGGAGTTTTAATGACTGATGTCGTAAGTTCTGAATTCAGAATAAGAACTGTTTTGTCGACTAGGATAATAAGACTGATGATGATACTGATGATAACATGTTGGGACATTTGTTATCTTAGTAATTCTTATTTCTAAAAGTAATTTGATGGATTGTTTATGAAAAAAATCCTTGTTGGAGCTCAGGAATGGTCATAGTGGTACAGATATAAATGTATTTTCAGGCAAGACTGTTTGCCATGATTGTGTCACTCACCCAAAAGTTGTGTAAATGACACCCATGGCCAGTTAACCTTCAGGGAAGCTTGAAATTTGAGCAAGGTTTTACATGATGGACTAGCATCCAATGGTGAAGGGATAGTGCTCATTACAAGAATGTCCTAATTCCCTTCTGCTATGAAAACTGGGATAAACTCTGACTTGGAGTCTACCAGTAATATTCTTGTAAGTCTTAACCTAAAGTTCGCCATCTCTCTTATCTTGTTCACTTTTATTTTTTCAAGAATACCTGCTGGTAAGCGCGCTGGTGCTGTTAAGGTACAATCCAAGGGATTTTTTTCTGGAGCTAAGGTTACTCGAGGAAGAGACTGGAAATGGGATGACCAAGATGGGGGCAGTGGTAGGATTGGTACATTGACTGAGATCACTGCTTGGAGTAATGTGGAGAGGGCAGGAGCAAAAGTCATCTGGAATATACTTAGGAATAACACATACCGAGCAGGATACCAAGGATCAGTAAGGATTATTCAGCCTTTTAGTCTTTGATAGGCTTTTGGTCAGGGAAAAACTATTGTTTGACTTGTAGTAATAGCCGGCAAGAAGAACCAGTGATTGCATGAGGGCCAGAAAAGAGTGGGTTCACTTTGCCCTTACCTGATCACCCTGACTAAAAGTCTGGCAAAGTATAATGTTTTAAAAAAAACATGTTACCTAAGTTAATGTATTAAGGTAATCAAAATGTCTTTAACCCTTTAACTCCCAACACCCAACATCTGATTGTTAATTCTCTCCTCTAGCTGTTACACATTTCCTTTTGAATTAGTTAGGAGAATTTGGCATTAGATCAAGACAACAACTTCTATATAATAAGTTTCAGTATTCACATTACTTGTTTTCAAGATGATGCATGGATATTATAGGAAAATGTTACATGTTAATCACTTTTGGGAGTTAAAGGGTTGAGTTACTATAAATTTCTTTCCATTCCTTTCCATCTGCACTAGGACTTACAATTGACTTGCTGGTGGTGTGCTTTTCCTGTGGTGCTTTAAAACTTAATTGGACATTACACTGATTTAGTGATGTACAGCTGGGGGGAGGGGGGGTGCATTTTTATGCCAAAATGAATCTAAGAATCTATGCTACCCTTCTTTAATGCATTTTTGCAATAGGTTATTTATATTATCATGGTAGCTAGGTTCTATACTTTTAGATTCAAAGCCAGACTGCATGGAGTTGTGATCTACCATTTGAAATGTTTAAGTATGAGGAATTTCTCATTTCTTTGGAGCTGTATCCTAATAATTGCTGGATATGTCATGTTTAAGGTTGACCTCAAATGTACAACTCCAGGAAATGGCCCACACTACTATCGTGATTGTCTAGGGAGAGTTGGTGATAAACGGCTCCAGAGAAACAGAAATCGATTGAGGGTTGGAGACAGAGTCATTGTGAACCTTGATGTGGAGGTGCTTAAAGCAATGTCCCAAGGACATGGCGGCTGGGTCGATGGTATGGGACAGGTAAGATTGTAATATTTCCTTTAATATGATTATGGTCTTGCTGTAAATACTCTATGCAATTTCATTTGTTTTTAATTAATTTAGTTTTAGTTATATATACTTTTTTATTATAATTGTATTGTCCCTGTAAAGCCCTCATGGAGAGAGGTCAATAAAATAATGTATTGCAGTGTTGATATGATTTTTCTGAGTGGTTTGTTTATCTATTTACTCAGTGCATAGGAAAGGTGGGGAAAATACATAAAATAGACGATGATGGTGATGTCCACATCAGGTATGGGCTCCAGTCATGGGTATTCCATCCAGATGCAGTCACTAAGGTAACTACATGATAAATGCCCCATTCACACTTGTAAGCAAGACATGTTCCATTAAACCAATTTTACTAAATAAAAATCAGTTATACAAAACTGACTGACTAAATTTTACAAAGTATTCACGAAATCACTAACTTTCTATTTTCATTGTGCTAACTTTTAAGTCCACAAACATCAGTTTAAGCAGCCTTGATATATACAAGATTTTCAAACAGCGTTTGGCAAAAGGCTTTTTAAAATACGTTTTAGCTTTGGTGTGATTAGAGAATAAGTTTAAGTCGATGGAATCTAGGACTATCTCATATGGTAAAAGATCACCTAGCTGCTCTTGGGAAAATCATGTTTTTGCCCAAACGGCCGAGAACGCGGGCGAATCTGGAGATAGTGGGGAGTTAAGGGTTAAACTCTGTCTGGTTTAAATTTCAGTGATAAACTAATGCAAGCAAAAGCTGGCGGAACAAGCCTGGGCTAAGTTCGCGATATTTGGGGTTGATGACGTGCGAACAAATATAGGGTACACGTTTGACAATTTTGTGGCTCACATGGACGTCTGAAGATCCGTAATCTCATTTTTTTTGTAATGAAATGCCGAAACGATGAAAACATGTGTCCAGAAAAAGAAAGTCATATAAAGGTCCTCTGTTATTTTCTTTCAGTTTTGTATTGGTGATACCTTTAAGCGTCATAGCATGTTGTCTCAGGTGCTGAGTACCAGTAGTATTAACAAATTAGTCTCAAAATAATTATATTTTTTTTTATTGTAGTTGTCAACTATCCAGGCTGGAAGCGTAATAGCAAAATAGTCTCAAAATAATTATATTTTTTTTGTTGTAGTTGCCGACTTTCCAGGCTGGAGATAAAGTAAGAGTGTTAAAAAATAAACAAGAAGTACAAAGGTTACAACAGGGGCACGGTGGCTGGAATGAGTCTATGACGGCGGTGGGTATTTTTTACAAGACTTTAAATGTAATAAGTGGAACGTAGGAATAACAATACACCACTTTACTGATACTAACGTCCAAATTAAAACCGGGATCGGCCAAACTAGTCTCAGGTCCCTTCCATCGATTGTTCTAAATAAATCGTCCTTGTCAGCTTTTCGATCCGCTTGAATGTTTGCTGTGGTTAACTATTGTTTGAGGACTCGAGACTTACAGTTGTTTATTTAATATTGTAGGCTTTGGGTAAAGAGGGAAAGATCTTAGAGGTGGACAGCGATGGTGATGTTGTAGTTGTGGTAGGAACGGATCTCTGGCTGTTCAACCCAGCAGCTCTGGAGGATCTGACGGGAGGGGAGGCTACGGCGCGACGGGGCGAAGTTGCAACGGGATCTCCAGGTTAGAAAAATGCACACCCAAATATGAATTTCAAAAATTAAAAGTGAGTTTGGTTTCTGTAAATGTCCTACTGAACAAAGAAAAATGAAAACTCTTGTCTGCAAAGCTTTTACTTACGGTCAAAGAGCTCACTTTTCCTTAAAACTTGTTAGCTGTTTTTATTACTAGGCTTTGGGTTTTACGACTTTATAACTAGTTTCTGAACTACTTTTTCTCTCCGATTTATTTTCTGAAGCAGACAAACTAACGGAGCTACAGGACCTTCTTAAGATGATGTTAGTAGAGGCGACTATGAAAAGTGGAAGTGATCCTGGAGACAGATTAGTGAACGCTTCATCAAATGGAAACCTACAGGAAGTCCGGGAAATCCTGGAAGCAAATCCCGATAAGGTGACGTAATCAGCGTATTGGTTTAATCACGTGACAAACGGACTGTAAATTCGCAAGCAGCTATGATAAACAATTACGAGCGCAAGTTTGATATTCTTTTCTCCATTCGTAGATCAATCATAAAAGAGCAGGCAAAACCTCTCTGCATGTAGCTTGTCATCAAGGTCGAACTGAAATTGTTAAATACCTTGTAGACAAAGGCGCTGACAAAGATGTCAAGGTTAGCATTTTATGATACATACATATTGCCTTAACCCTTTACCTCCCAGGATCTGATTATTTAATTCTCCCCTCTAGCTGCTAGGAGTTAGATCAGGACCACCAACCTCTACCTGATAAGTTTGACAATTCTCATTGCATGTTTGCTGGATAATGTACGGATATCATAAGGAGAGGTTACATGTTAATCACTTCTGGGAGTTTAAGGGTTAAAAAAAAAACTGTTAAAGTTAAAGAAACTGTGATGCCGCATCGGTGGGAGAGTATAAAATATCAACGAGTTGATAACGAAAATTGGCCACAGTTAGGAGTGTCAAATTTGACGTTTTGAGCGTTAGCCCTCAAGACAAGCTCAGGTTCGACATCTTTTGATATCTTTGCATTTTAAGGTATTTGTGGCTTCGATAATTGAGCGCCCAAGTACGAAATTAGCTTAAGCTCGGCTATTCTCTTTACTCATGAGGCTTTTGACATCGTTGATCGTAGCAAGTGCAAGACATGTGTCGTGTATGACCACGGTTATGGCTTAGCTTAGCCTGGAGATCTCTGTAGGTCAGTGGTGGAGCATCGTAGCAGAGAATCCGAAGGGTTGGGTTTCATGACGACTCCTGAAGATGTTGATTTTGTTGCACGCTTTTGACGGGTTAATACACTTTTAATATCTCACTTCCCTTTTGTGGTGTTAGGACGAACAGGATTACTCAGCGTTGCATCATGCGGCTTATGGGTAAGTTTGTTGCTTTCTCAATAGTTCACGATTCATTCTTCGTTAAAAAAAAATCAAACCATCTGCATCCATTCGCCGATATTCTTACGTTTATATTCTGTAGTTTCAATTGAATGCCGAAAGAAATCAGGATTGCTTTAGTTTTGCTTTTCTTTGTTTAGGTTTTACTTAACTTCACTGTGTCTTTGCTACGTAAAATCGCGCCATCCTGTCAACCAATCAGAGGGCAAACCATTTGTTCTTGGCCATTCTCCTTTTTCCGCGCTTCAGCCAATTTGCTTGTTTTTTTTCTTCGAGTTCCCCTTGACTTCCTGTCAAATTTATCTTGTTTTGATTGGTCATTGAATTTAAATACAGAGATAAGAGTGGTCAGGCTGTGACAGCCATGTTAGCCACAGGAACAAACGTCAATGTTTGTGATAACAAAAACAAAAGCACGCCGCTACACTTAGCTGTCAATCAAGGAAACGAAGCTGGTGTTAGGGCTCTGCTGTTGTCAAGACACTGCGACGTCAACTGTCAGGTAAGTCGTTTGCATTATGCTGGCTTTCATTTGAAATGCATTTACATTGATAAAACATCTTATTAGCGAGTAGTTTACAAACAAGTCGGTCCTAAACCACTTGGGGCCGAATTGTCATGGCTTAATTAACTCGGACAGTTAAAACTCAGTATCAAGCGTACACGGATAGTTGTTAACTTCTCCTTTTGATCTACAGGATTTGGCCGGTGATACAGCTCTACACGACGCTATCTCCAAAGAAAAGAATGGAATTATAGATCTCATTCTCAATAACCAAAGGCTGGATATCACTGTTTCTAATGGCAGAGGGTTCAACCCCCTTCATCAAGCTTGCATGAAAGGAAATAAAAAGTAAGTTATTGTAATTGATAGTTAATTAGCCTTATTTACGATTCCCGCCATTTTTGCACTCACTTTGGGGTTCGAGGCTCACAACAGACTGATAACCGAGCTCTTAAAGTAATATATGCTGGCTTTACGCTGATTTTAAATGGTTAGACTTTCAATTATGAAGCGGAGTTTAAACCGTTGGCTTTGCTTTTTAAGAGACGTAAGAGAATCTTAAGGCTAATCGCAAACTGTAGGGATCGGAGTCCCCAGTGCTGTGTCGTGGTCTTTGCCATACCAGCAAATCGGCGCCATACCAGCATATTACTATTACTTTATTTCATTTCATTTACCAGTGCTGTTGAAAAAATCGCAAGGAAATTCCCTGGCCTCATTGAGATTCCAAAAGAAGACGGATTTAGTGCCCTTCATCTAGCTGCCTTCAATAACCACTTAGAAATCGCAAAGGTTCTGCTGTTGTCGGTATGTACTTGTTCATCGTGATAAGAGGATAAAGTATAAAGCTGAAAATCTTTGTTCACTATGTAGATGCTTATTGTGTCTTCTGGGTGGTGTTGTGGAATGGTGCAAGAGTGTGTTTGGTGTCTTTACTGTAGTTTTGGACTTGCTGCGAAGATTGCTATTTGTGGTCGCGTCACAAATACTTTGTCTTGCTTGTTCAATAATAGGGCCACTGTGACATCAATCTACGCAATAGAAAGAGACAGACGGCCCTGGCTCTTGCTGTCTCTGAAGCTTACACCAGCATGATAGAACTATTGATTGAACATGGCGCCGATATAAATGCTGCAGACGAAGATGGAGACACCCCTTTGCACTTGGCTGTCATACATCAAGCTGTTGGGAGTAGTGGCTTAAGAGGGGTACGTTTATTCAATCAAAAGACGCCGAGATGAGATAGTTTCAGTTGATAACAAACTCAGAGTTATCCGCAAAAGCAATCAAACCTTTGAACGTCATGTTTCGCGATACACTACCACTTTACCACGGAGAATTTCATTCTAGGCCACTTGTACGTTAATATCTGACAAGTGGCAAGGAACGTAGAAAATAATTTTATCGTAAAATAGTTAAATAAAGAAAGAATAAACCAAAAAAATTTTTTTTTTATTTGCGACACCGATATGATAATTTACTTTTTGTTTCGGTCAACTTTTTTTCGGTCTTTTTGTTTTACGTAGAAGTTCCTATAACACAAGCGACTAATAGTTGTGTCAAATCATTCTTTTCATTTTAGCTCTTACAAGGACTAGGGGTCGACGTCCCAGCCAGCGGCACAGACCAGCACACTGGCTCTGCCATCGCTGTATACTTAGCTCTTCATGGGGCAGATATTAACTTTTACAACAACGAAGGTAAAACCCCACTGGATATGTGCCAAGACCCACAAACTGCCAACCTGATTAAACAATTTGCGAGGAATATTCCAAGGTAACCCAGCATTTTCTATGAGTTCATCATATTCTTTTGCGCATCATAAGTCTGTTTATCAGTTGTTTTTTTTTTTTTCATTTTATTTCCATTGCTTTCCTGCTTTCCTCTCTCTACTTACTTCCCCACCAACATTCCTTCTTTCTTCGTCTCCTTTCTCTCTTCTCCTTTCTTTCCCTCTCGTTTCCTCTTCCTTCTTACAATCCTACCTTCTTCCTCCCTTTCGGCGCTCCCTCCCCCCCCCCTCGACCCCATCTCACCTCTTCTTCCCCTCCCTCCTTTCTACCTAACCTCCTTCTCCAATCCCTTCCCCTCCAGCTACCCGCTTACCCATCCGCCTTTATCCTTCCCTGGACCCTAAATTTCTTTTGCTTCTCTCCTTCCCATCATCCCTTACTCTCTTTCCAAACTACTTCCACGAGGCTTTAATTGTAGAAACAACCTTTTAAGATACTCTTTTATTTTTCTATCAGGCGAACAGCTATGTCGCGTCCGGCCACATTCACTCAACCTCGACCACAGCCTGTGCGTTCAAAATCGGGGCCTGCGCCTGCACCTACTGGTGCACCTAAACGTGCCCCAGTACCTCTCCCAAGGTCAACTTCAGGGCCATCAGCGGTAAATTATTGGTCGTTTATAATGATCTTTTTCAGTCATTTATTTCGTAACTATATTGGGAAGCGAGAGGAGCGAGGTACGGCTGTACGTTTTTCGCGCGTGTCCTACTTCACGCGCGCTTTTCTCCCTCTCCCGCTCGCCTCGCAAAGGGTGGGACAAATGACTCTTTTACAGGATACACTTTAGAGAACTCCTGTATTCCTAGTTCTTCATTCTAAACTTGTAAAATCCACTTTTTGCTATATTATATTTCTTTTACTACCCAGACTGCAACAAGATCTACAGCACCAAGCCAGAAGAAGATACAAGATAGTGCAAAAGGAGCCGATGTGAACCGAGCCAGTGTCACCGGAACAGACTGTATCATCTGTACTGAAAACACTGCTACTGTCACCTTCAAGCCGTGCGGTCACAAGATAACTTGCTCAAGTAATATTTATGTCCCGTAGATTGTTTTCAGCTCGCGGGGGACTCAGAGATCACTTTGTTCCTCACTCGTGACAAATGAGATAATATTTCTCTATTTAACGCCCGAGCTAAAACTTTTCCTCGGTCATAATCTAATTGCACACACACAACACTTCCGACATTCCAGGTTCCTGATCACATTTTTACTTCGTTCCTCATTCGTGACAATCAGAAAATTTTTTCTCTGTTTGACGCCCGAGCTCAAAATTTTCCTCCGTTATAATCTAATTACATACACACGACACTTTCGACATTCCTGATCTTGACAGTATGTAGGGTGAGTGTCACAAATAAACCTATCACTTGGCGCAGGTCACTAACGAGGTCTCTGGGCTCGGTGGTGGAGCATCGGACCTCAAATCTCGAAGGATCTAGGTTCGAATCCTTAGCTTGTAGAGGACTCAGATTTGTTTCTTTTTTTTTAACCACACACACTGATGAATAACATCTTCCTCTTAAGCCCTGGATTTCTATGTCTATCTTTCGATCGATTTTGTGCAATTGCTACCTGACTTCCTCTACACCCCGACATAAACATCATCAGTCAGTCACCCCGTAACTCGTACGAATGACTTGTACAGAATTTCTCCTCACAATGTCGTTACAATATCAAGGAGAGAAGAGACGAGAATGAAAGAAATATCAGTTAGCGAGATTATCAGTTGATCCAACACCAAATTCTCCGAACCAACATAAGAAATGTTTAGCGGACGGTAAGGAGAATTACCAATGAGATCTTGGAATTAAAAGGGTTAATGGTTAGTACCATTCATTCGTTCGTCCGTCCGTACTTACGTGCGTACGTACGTCCGTCAGTGTGTCAGTCGCCCGTCGGGTAGTCGGTCGGTCCGTCGGTCGGGTGGTCGATTGGTTGTTAGATTGTTCCTCTTCAACACGAACAAGATACATTGATCAATGTTTTAATTACATCGAACACTTAATTGTTCAAGCAATGTGTTTTTTCTTGATGGGGAGTAACACTTCCTGATTAATATTTTCTGTTTACTTGCCCGGCAGGTTGTTCTCTCAAAGCAAAGCGTTGCCTTTCGTGCAATCAGGAGATTCAGCAAAAAATTGCAGCAGGTATTTTGTTTCGTTCTTTAATTTTCCTTTAATTAGCATACTTGCCTAACCAATCATACAATTGGGTGGGATAATTCTAAAATTATCACTACTAATCGGCGTTACCACCAGCGCCTTTGTTTGGAGGCTTGGCACATTAACTCCGCCCACGCTCCTTTAAATCGTGACGATGGCGGTCTGCTTCCTGACGCCTATTTACACCTCGTCAGAAAAAAAAGGCCGCTAATTAGTTATCATATAAAAGGACCTCTTGTTGCAGCGTTTAGATCACCCCTGATGAAGGCACTAGACAGGAGTGTCGAAACGTTGGGTCTATGAATTGTAACTTCTTCGGTTACATTCATTAAATCTGCAAACCAGTGTAGCTTCAAACTATGTCTGATTGTCCACCTGGTTGCCGTGTGAACTTTAATATATTTCCTTTAATTGTTTGTTTTTGTTGTCGTCTCCTTCCAACTTCTCATGTTAAACAAAACTTTGATGTTAGATAGGTTCGTGTTTTCCTTTCCCCTTCTCATCAATAACTGTTTTACTGAGGACTTTCCAGTTGCACGCTATGCACAACCGGGTTTGGGGGGGGGGGAGGGTGTTTAACAATTTGAGGGGGAGCTGCGGAAGGTTCGTTCTGGAGTCACGAGTTGTGAGTCGGTGGTAGAATTAGCAAAAGGCTTAATGTAAAAACCTTGCAAGCTCCCTGTGATAAGCTTGCATTCCATGTAGTAGATACGCAATAATCATAGTCGCTTCGTGGTGACAGACGGTCTGGGGATGAGCAGGCTGAACTGCGGATCTAGAGTTCTGAGCTCGAGCCCAGCCTGTTTCGTTCTATTCGCTCTTTGGCAAGACTCTTTGTATTCCCAGTGCTCCTCTTCACTCTGGAGATTAATTGGCAGCCTGGAAGCTACAAAGAACCTGGAGATAATCTGCTGTGGACCAACACGCCAACTTGTAGCGGCAGCAATACTCTCAGTCGCTTCATGCTACAGATAGCAACATATGTTTCGACAAGAATTCGCTTTTACGCCCTTCACCCGTGTCTGGACCGATTTTCTGAAGTGATCTTTTCATTGTGTTGCAGAAGGCGCGCCAATCAATGTACCAACCTTGATGGACTCGACAGACTACCAAGATCGGGTGCGTTCTCTTGAAAATGAATTGCGCGCCATGCAAGACGACAGACAATGCCCGATATGCATGGAGAGAAATAAAAATATGGTGTTTTTATGTGGACACGGAGCCTGCAAGGAGTGTTCTGAGAGACTGACGGTTTGTCATATCTGCAGGATATCTATTCAGAATAGAATACAAATTTTCTGAGCTTACATGTTCCAAATTATTACGCAATTCTTGGAACCTGCCTTTCATTCAAGTAGTTAGGATAACGTTGAGCTTTGAGCATAAGTTGCGTTAACGGGAAGTAAGATGAATTTCAAAATGCGCAAAGGCAACTGCGTGGTCGGTAGAGGGTCTCAATAAGGTGATGGCTTTTACGGCTGACGGTTAAGATCGGCCATTTTTTGGCTAAAAGTTAACTTCTTTCCGTTTCCGTTAACTTTTATTATTACTGACGATTAAAACTTTGGCCATTGTACGTCAAATCCGCTGCGATTAAGAGAAACATTTTTCGGTTAACTTTTCTATGACTAATATTTAAAATTTTTCAGTTTTTACGCCTAACAGCTATTTTTTTTTTGTTTATCCCATTGAGACCCCTTTCATATAAAAGTATTTCAACAACGATGACATTTGTAATGTGAGGTTTTTCGTTTCATTATCATCTTAAAAGTACAGCTTCTGTTACACATGCACTTAAAACATCCCTTAGTTAATTGCACAGGCTATGATCACTTGAGAGAAACGTTTGCCTCCCTTAGCACGTACCCAGGGCTACTGCAGCTGTTCATGGTGCGCTTTGACTTGTGGGATTCATTTTTACGTCCTTGCTATTAATCAGTGAAGTACTCATGTATTTTCCTGTGGTGTGGGAACAATGGAGACACAGACCGCAACCTACTGTTAATTATAATAGGGGAACTAACGAGATTTCAAAGTAAAAACAAGCAAGGCGTGGGCGACCAAGTCGTGATTGGCCATAGTTTTGAATTGGATTGGCGAATTAGAGAGCCTAGTAAAGCAAAGCTAATGCAATCCTGTATTGGAGCAGTTTTCAGTTGAGTTTCGAAAGCCAAAACGTAAGTAATCACCGCTGCCAATCGCAACGAAGGTCGACATCATCATTAGCCAATTTAAACTCGGAGTAAAAACAGGCAAACTGCACGAAACGCAGGAAAACGCGGGCGACCAAATCATGATTGGTTTTAATTTGGAATCCGATTGGTCGGTAAGGTGGAGAAAGTAATTCTGGTCCAATCACAGAGCGAACTGAGTTAGGCAAAATCAAAGCGATCGTGGTAAACTTTCGTACGTCGATTGAAAACTGCTCTACTTTTGGCACTCAGTAGAACATTAATCTAATTACGCTGATTAGTGTTGATACTTCCCCTGGAAGTTATGTAATATTAATACTCAAAATTGTAGGTGCACTAAGGAAGATCTCGATGCGTTTCACATGGAGAATTTGATAAGTTTAGTGTACAAAATTTAAGGGCAAGAAGAGTAGCTTAATAAACAATTGCTGAAGCGCCATCCAGGCCTCCAGTCCAAAACTTTTCCGTGTGTATCCGTTCTCTTCTCCATTTAAAAAAATTTCACAACTACGTGCGCCTAGCGACGTTTGTATCATGGTCAAATCGCTTTTACTGAAGCAAGCAAATGGGATGTACGTTCAACACAACTCAATAACCGATCAACCTTCTCGTTTTTACCAGGCTGCAACATTCCCCCGTGACTTGAGTGTGATTAAGTAAACAAGAAGAAATTCTACGAGATCAAAGTTGCGATGCATTTTGGTAACTTTTCTGTTTGACAACTCAGTGAGTGATTTCTAATCGACAACCGTTGAGGTTCAGCGATCGAAGCTTCAGTTTCTGTATTGATTGGAACTTCATTCAAATCATGAACAGGGGGGTGAATGAGGAAAGTAGGGGGGAAGGGAGTAAAAAATTGGTTTTACTCATAAAAATGCAAGGGTTCACTTCTCAAAACCGTTCAGTGTGGAGCAGTTAAGATCGAGTCTAAAACAAATAAGCAAAACAAAATAGAAAAAAATTGAGGGTGCCCACCGACCACTTTGACGCTAAGTCTACTTACTAAAAAATTTTCGCATTCAGATGTTAACTTTCTTTTCAAACCCCTGAAAGCAGTGTCCGGAGACTTGAACACCAGTGTTACTTAAAGTACATGGTGCAATGTTGCCCTTTTTAGCTTAATACCAGTCGCGAGAGGAGATAACGCCATAGTTAACGAAGGAATGACCTCATCCATCTGGAAAAAGAGCTTCTTCCCAGTCGTCGGTGGAAAATGTTTCAGAATTTTTTAAAAAGAAATCTGAGGTGGCGCCTTACTGTTCCTACGGTCACCCTTCCACCTTATCTTGTTTTGCTAACAGGGGATCACTTATTATTTATTTCAGTTAATAAAATGTCTGCACCACCTCGTGATATTGATAACCCTCCTTCCTAACAACACTTTGCGGATGACTCTCGGCCGTGACATTATGAAGTTCACACAACCTAGATCCACGAATGTCCGAACTCTGTATCGTGAAAGATACGCATGCGCTGTTTTGACCACATTTGAGCCCGCACTCAATCACACCGGCCACTCTTACTTTAAGAAGAAGGAAGCCTTGAATAGCAATGTCTCGGGTAGACTTTGGTGTCTGGAAGTAACTCTGTTTTTCTGTGGAAAAAAAGGAAGTAATTTTAAAGCCTTATTTTAATTATTCTTTTAACGATTGAAGTTATTAGAATTATTATCGTTATTATTATCCCTATTATTATTATTATTATTATTATTATCATTATTATTATTTTCTTGGCAGCTGGACCTATTCACTCCACACCATGCGGTAGGGGGAAGGGGGGGTGAGGTAGCAGGGGGTCTTTTTTGTCATGACCTAAAGTTGTGCAGGTTATTTAACCATGACAGCTAATATCTAACCATTTCCTAAAAATGTAAAAATCCGAGATCTTCATGGCCTTAGTTCCACTTTTACTTTTCTCTTGGATTGATTAAGAAAATTTCTCTAGCCTCCTAATCATTCAAATGCAAAACTCATAGCAATGGCGACCTAGTTCCTCTCGATTCCCCACCATCGTTTTCTTGTTTTTTGCTTCAAGTTTTCATTTTGTTTGCAGTCAGTGTTAGTTTATGACTGTTAATGAAAATGGTCTGGTCGATGCGAATTTCTAGAATAATAACAAACCTTCTGTGCATTCTTTAACAAGCTTATGCCGACAAAAAACTTCAGAATCATTTTTGTTGTCGCTTGACCAGATCCAAGCAGCTTTTTTGTCAATGCTGTCTATATTTCCCCAAGGTAAAGTGGAAGGGCTGTTAGCTCCATGTGAAGTTGCCATCGGCCAATCATCATCGCGATAACTTCTCATATTCCATCCATATTCAGCTGATGTGGTGCACCTCCAAGATGTGTCAGTCACCAGTCCGTTCTCAAATGAACCCAATATACCCCCTTGCCAGGGTGGGGTGGAAGCTGTGCAACGTACAGCGACCACGTGACTGTGCGGCATTATTTCGTTGGTCAAGTAATGCTTTTGTTTAGCATCTGCAACATCGCCACCCAAATATTTGCCATCCACGTACAAATATAAGTTCCTGTCACAAGTTATGTTGACAGTAATTGCTGAAGGAGTTCCTTTTCAAAGTAAAACAGATAAAAATAAATTGATTGCCATCATAAAAAGTTTCAATTGAGGGTTGAAATTTATTCACTAAAGCGCTTATCATTTTGACCAGCTGAAATTTGCGCTGTGAGAAAAATTTTGCTTTAGTTGTTGCACCTCGACTAAACGATAAAGATAAAAAGAAAAGATATGAAGAGTCTACCATTAGCGGTCCTTGTTCAGATTGGCTAAAATTTTTCAATTGACAGTTTTCAGCGACGCGTAGCGCGTGCAATTCATCATGGACGCTAATGGGCTTCGCGAACCCTCCCTCAATCATAAACGTCTCCAATTAATAGCAGTAAAATGTCATTGGAGGTAATTCTTCTTTAAATGATTACATCTAGGTTTTGTCAAATAATTGGTCAGTTCAGCCGTAAGGAAAAGAACTTACGAGAGCTGCTCAATATAAAATTAGAAAAAAAAAGCGATCAAACTCAGTAAAGCCTTCTAGTTGTGCTAACGTACGAACGATATGCTTGACTCTGTCTGTCTGATTTATGATCCTTTGATGAAAAAACGTCATGGATCATACCGTCTAGTTGTTGCATAATGATCAGTAGCTATAGGCTTAGACGAAAAATAAATCAACCTTTGCCAACCATTATTTGACAATAATTCATTTTGGCATTTATGACTTCTGGTAAAGTAAGAAATATTTTTCTAGGATCTGACCTTGATTCAAAAGTTATGAGATTTCGAAATCGTTGATATCTTGAATAGCGCGTTCGTGAAATTTTTAATAAATGGTTAAACTCCGTGAACTTTATTTTGCTCTAAGCATTTTGAAAAGGTGGATTAAAAAAATCATTCTCTAGTATAAGGAAGGATAGTAACGCAAAACCAACAAATGGTCTTAATCACGTAGCTAATGTTAGCCTCATGCTGTGCAAAACGCGAAAAGAAAGATGGCTGTATCATTTAAATTCTATATAATTAACATTGTTCTACGAAAACTTAGCTAGATTTCATTTATAAATCAATGCAACAAGAATTCGAACCCGTTTACTGTGAAGTACTTAAGTTAAAAGCTCCGGTCGGTTTAACATTAGCGAGCAGATTCCGGGCCATGTGCCATGTTATCTCGGAACACTATTTTCGATAAAATGGTGACTTAATACCTTAATTATCTGAGCTATTCTCAAATTCAAACCTTTGTCGCTGCAGCTCGAAGAAAACCAGCATTCCAAAAGTAAAATTATCCCACAATAGACAATCTCTGTTAGTTTAGACATTTTTCCTCGTCCTTGACCGTGTCGCACTGAGAGGGCGGATGTCTTTTCGTCGATTTTAATTAAAAAGCCTCGTTTTCTATGAACAAATAATGCAAAAATGCATGCATCAAAACCTCCTACAGAGCATGATGTCGGTTTTCAAGGATGTGACAATGTCACCATATGTCGCAAATCACATAAGTATTCTAAATCGCCAAGTGAGATCTTTTGTCGTCGCTTGTTTTCAGGGTATAGTGAAGTTGATAATTAAGAGGTCTGTGGCCAATGGTCTTGAAAACTGTAAACATTGCTGTAACATTTATTGACAGGAAAGGAAAAGGATCTGTAAACATTATCGGGATTGTTGTTCTCAAAGAAACTTACTTTAAGAAGCGTTAAACCACAAAATGTACAGTTCTTAGATCAAAACCATAGTACTCTGTAAGACTATTGACTTACCATCAAGACCTTTTTTTCTCAATTCGAAGACTGAGACATAAATATCCTATAATATGCTGTACCGCAAACGTGCTCTAGAATCTAGTTATTTCTTTTTTCTCGGTGTTTGCGCAATTTCCAAAAAGCTCTCGGACTGATTTCTGAGCGCACCTGCCAAATATCTATCGCACTCTACAGAAAGTACGTGCATGTGATTTTTTTTAAAGATTTTGTAAACGCAAAAGTAAAATTAAGATCACAGAAAATCGGCGGAAGATCGAAATGATTAAATAAATATTATGAAATTAAAATAAATCCTTAATGATTTTTTTTAATCATCTTACGAAGAACTGTATACAGTAACTGATCAGGCGATATCGAAGAGACGCTCGTCTTTTTTTACTCATTATTATTAACCACTTATAAAGACAAAATAAAGTTTTTCTCTTACTGCGAGAAGATGTTTTACACACGAATTATGTCGCAAAGTATTATGACCGGAAGATTTCATTCCGCTGAGAATCGTAGAATTTTCCGGGTAATTACGAACAAAGACACGATATATAGCACAAGCCGACTATCTGCCGGATCTATTAAAATGAATCAGCAACGATTGGTCTTGGACCAATGAAACATAAAAAGTTTTAATCGCCGTTGATTAGTTTGCTACTTAAACCAAATAAATTAAATTCTATGTTTGGATGAACAGTGATATTAGAACCGAAAACACACGTCCTTATTTCCTTTTGTATCGGCTGCCAGAGTTAAAGCTGTCGTCAGATTTATTGTTAACAAGGGGGAAAACTGACCCTTTGAATGACTTATTTGTTGACCAAAAACCCGAGCAATAAGTAAGATAAGCCAGGGTCGTTAAACTTAAAAACCAAACGTGCCGACAAATTTAAAAAAAATTATGTTTTGTTTTCTTCCTTCGTTCACTTTTCGTTTAAATTTCCAAAAATTATGGTAGCAGTGAACCGTAAGTGCGGATTTTTTTTCCAAAATTTTCCAGAAATATGTATCTTGAAATGGAAATCATGTAGCCCGTTTTTGAATTGCAGGCAAATAAAGCTAAAACTAAGGGTTTTCCAAGAGGTTGCATTCGTAGTACTGTTAAGGTAATCTAATATGTCATAAAGGTGAATAAAAAATAATGCAAAATATTTAGAAATTTGTTGACAACAATTTATGGGAAACAAAAGAAAAGCTGTGAAAAAAAAATAAACACAATCTGAGCCACCTTAATATTCAGTGACTCTGTCATGTTTTTCCGCGCGAATTCTGGGATAGGGTGAGTGAATTCCGCCATATTGGATCTAGTTGGATCTAGCAATATTTGCCAGGCGTCTCAGGGAGTCTCGCTCGGTTTAGTTCGTGACCAGGCTCCCATAATTAGCGAGCTTGTTTTTGTCCGGGAAGAGTGTGAGGCCTGGAGCAGCGAGAGTTCTGCAAAGGGGTCTAGCACTGATAATGATTAGTGCCATACCTCCGGCGAACCTCTCCCCGATTCGTCCCAGATCTTCTCGCGGGCAGAGAAACGCTAATAATGTGGGCCTGTAGGAAAGAGTCACCATTTATTATAAACTGCAACACCACTTTTTGACGACGCATGCTCTATTGTTTGACCTCGTCCGTCAACCAGGTCTAGTAATTAAACGTCTTTATAATTATGCAGCATGTTGGTTCGCAGCAATTGGTGCGTTTTCGTGCATAGTGGGATTGTTTTACCTTGTGTGTCAATCAAACTTGACGTCTGAATTTTTTTCATTGACATTTTCTAGGTTTTCTATCTGAGAGTTTCTTCAGCTTTGTTTGTCTTGTGAGAGAGACTGTGAGTAAAAGAATTGTCCATTGTCATGTTTGTAGATTAATAAACTTTTAAGGTACAAAGACTGAATAAAAGAAACACGAGGTGAAAATGAAACTCAAATCTGATTAGAATTTGGAATTTCAGAGCCTGTGCTGAACCCCTTGTAAGTAAGTACATAGCCTTATTTTGCTCCTAAAACTTAAAAATGACTTACAGTAACATCTACACAGCGCATGTAAAACTTACACTATTTGGAACACAAGAAAATTCTATCTTGTTTAATCACGAGATGCTCGTTACCTTTCGATTTTTTTTTAGGACAAATTTGGTGCTTTTTGATTATGTCTTTGGGTTTTTAACGCCAAATTTTAAAAAAAAGTGACTCGTGGCCCGTGAAATTTTCACTTTTCTTAGTATCTAAATTCAAATACTTCTCTGCTGAATTTTGGTGAAGCGTTTTATGTGGTAGCAGCCTCAGTCGTACCTGATTCACACCTCGATAATCTGGGACATCAGTGTTGTTTTGGCCTCTCTGACATTTTGAACAAACCTGACTTGGTTTTAGCTGAAAGCAACCATCTTATCATTTTTTGTAGACATTCTGTCATTTTAAACGAATCGACTCGAAGTTTTAAAATATGCTTTATAGCGCGAGCCAGACGTTAATGGCCCCGCTGTAACTTTTAAGCTTTATCTGTTAATTGAATGTTACTGCTAGGCCATTTGGAGTAGAATTTTTCGCCTTTATTTTTTGTCCTTGATAATTATATTTCCAAAGTTGCAAATGAACTTGAACTAAACCAAAAAAGAAAAAGAAAAAAAACTTTAACAAAAAGGCGTCAATAAAATTCCTCGCATCCCAAGATTCACTCTTGGAGACAGTTACGAGAAGTGGTTTTTGAAAATTGTGACCGGCTTAAATGCTATATGCCAGTCGTTGGTTTTGTTCTCCAAAATAAATCTACAGTTTAGTTCAAAAAGGTTTAACAAAGATCGGCTAGATTGTATTTTAGACACTTTGTTCCTAAAAGCCTTTTGTTTCGGCCAGACCTTGCGTAAACCTACGCGACAACGTGAAAGAACGGCCGGCCGTGTTTGTTCAACGCCATCTGTGTTTTGCTTCACCCAGTTTGAATGGGTCACGACGCGTTTTTTAGGCTCAATTTGCGCGGTCAAATATCGAGACACGGTTCAAAAACTGGACGTAACTCATTTGTAATAATATGACTAATTTATTAGATAAGAATTTACGCTATGAGAAAGTGGAAAAAATGGCTGCATTTTCCGAAAACTAATTGAGCAGCGGGATGTTAATGAAGTAACGTCGTAACAAAATGTCTCTTGCAATAGTTTGATTGATATTTCCCCTAAAGAAAGTCAACATTGTTGTCAAGTTAATTGCTCAGTGCTAAAGACGCCGGGAATTGAAGAAATACTGCAGGAAATTGAGGCCTGTTAGCAAACTAAACAATATATTTCAACCTTATTGTTTGAAATCGATTAGTCTGTCTGAAAATTTTCTATCTGGGTGTTTAAGCGGCATTGGATGGGAATCCGATCCATGAGGAACTTTAAGTTTTTTATTGACCTCTGTCCTCTTTTAATTTCCTTTTTTGTTTACGAACCAACGCGCTAAAATTACATGCAGTAAATTTTGTTTTGCAGGGTTTTTGTTTTTATTCCAAATATCCGCTTCTAGTATCAATTTTTACCGCTAGAATCAAAGTCGCGTCAACCTCATCCTCTTGTCTTTGAAAACTTCAAGAGAAAGCCCTCCAAGTTTATCCTTAAAATAATTTTTGACAGGCGCACTGTTTGAGTTTCGTAGTGAAAGTCAACAGGAACTCACTCGAAAATTCATCGATTACAGTAAGTAATATCCTTTGTTGCCTTATGTAATTTTGTTTTGTTTTTATGACTTTTCAGTTCTCGAGCCATTAAGCTTCCCAACTTGTCAAGAGGTGCCCTGAAACGGGATTCGAACCTGCATCGTCTATTTGCTTTACAACTGTTTGGTAACGCGCCACCGTAAATTTGCTCTTCAGCTCGCAGCCTGCTGATCTTTTCGGCGGACCCATCTGTCGAGTTTTATCAAAATTGTGCAGCCTTCGTCTGACTAACGGTAAGTTTTAATTTCCTCTGTTTTATTAGTCTGTATCTTATTGAATATTTCCTACGCTCGTTGCAACTCATTAGCCCTTTGAGACGTTATTCTTACGACTGATATTCCTGTGAATATAAAGATCGATCGCACTGTCTATGTGGTATAGTTGCATTTGGCAGTTTCAGTTATTTTCCTCATCATCTGAGAGCTGAGGTAAGTTACTTACGGGATTAGAGTTCGAAATTCTTGAATTTTTAGTAAAAGGAAAACTTAATGGTTTTTGGGGGTTCTCGACCAATGGGTGCAATTTTCGCATATTGAGTCTTTCCCATTCTGGAACCGTAAATTGTTTCAATCGTGATACCGCAATACAAAGTATGGCTTAATCTACACATCGCAATAAATCTAGGCATATCTACAAGAAATGATTTCGAGCAGAGTTGCCAGTGTTGGTCATCAATCACCCATCAAGATTGTTGACTGGTCGGATTTTCCTTGTAATCAACTTACCTGCATTTAAGTTTTACTGATCCGTCTGAACAGAACGGCTGTCATGTTCCTGAGATCATGGCCTGAGTTTTACATCAAATCTGAAACATATAATACGAAAACATTGTAGAGGCAATACTTTTACTAACCCAGGAACAGACAAATCGAAAAAACAAAAGGCAATTCATCCTCTTCTCTCTCGTATTTACCTAGATCCAAATGTACTCATCACAACTGGAGAAAAGTAGATTGCACTGGAGTGCACTTTTCAAAATTCTTAAATGTAAAACTTCAACAAAAATAGAACCTGAAAACTTGGCTCTATTCCTTTATCAGCTTGTTCGGAATTTTTACCGAAAAGGCAATGGAAGAAAAGATACATTGTTAGGAGCCCCTGACATTATTTAGAAAGGATGTTCCATGACATATTTTTTCTCTTTTTTGTAATCTTTTCCTTTTTCATTTCCATCTTTTAGCAGAAAATATGCAGTTACTTCAAGTAAAGTCCTTTTTCATTCTTGAGGTTACATTGTGTGTGTTATGGCACGTGGAGGTCGATGGAAGACGTCAGTATACTCCATTTAGATAAAAAACAATTTTCATAGGAAATTGTTTGTGTGTGTGTGTTTTTTTTTATACAGCATAGTAGCTGTATCATAAATAACTCGCTAAAAGCACGTCCAATCATTTTCCTCAGGATATAGAATCAATTTTAGTTTCACTAAAAATCGCGACCTTCAATATAATTTATAATAGTTCTTATCGTTACCATGATGAAAAAACACTTCTCCTATCACAACTGAGTTATTTAGATTACCGAGTAAATCAGTAAATTGTTAACGAAAGCTCTTAATGATCTTTTAGTTTTCAACAATAGAAACTCGCCGTGGCATGTATCGCTCAATAGTTTTGTCCTCCCTATGATAAAAGTTAACGAAAGCTTTCAGGACTGCCTGGAAGGGTTCTCAACTTAATCTTAGCTGTAATGAGGTCGAACGACAGGAATGGCGCGGCGTGTCGTGGTCAATAAAGAGAGCAATTTTAAAACATCAGAATATTGATTTTACCCCGAATACAGTTATCTCGAACTCGTCAGTTTAGCCAAAAATCAATAAAGAAAAGTGACTAAAGAGTGAGTATATTTGAAAACTATAGGAGACTAGTTTACAAGTTCAAAAATTTTCGAGATCTAGAACAGTTCATGGCAAGCAGCTAGAATAGAGAGAGATCTGGATGGCCTTTAAAGCGTTTGACAGCAAGCTGCTTTTTTGACGCTTCACAGTTAAATTGTAGGCCGATTGACGGCTGACGGTTCAACCCCGTCGAGACCTCATGTTAGTGCCTGTCAGTGATAATAAAAGATGAAGTTTTTTTGCTTTTCTACTACAGCTAGCATACAGGTCGCAAAAGGATGCTACCGAGACCGCAGTGGAAGTGGTAGAGCTATGCCTGATCTCCTGGCGTCTTACAGAAAAAACGGTTTGGATTGGTCAAACCTAGAGGAAACAGTTATCCAAAAATGCCGTAAGGAAGCGGAAGAAAGGGTAGGTTTGGAGGGTGATTGTAAATTAAATCCTCAACCACTCAGTATTTTATTCGTAATTTTCCCTTTCAGTAGCTCTCGACAGGATCGCAGGTTTCCGCAAATCTGTGAATAGCCAATCACGACAGCACGTTCCCAGGTCCTCTCTCCGTCTTCCTGATGAGAAAAAACTTGAGAACAGAGTTGACGTTTGGCCCGGAGAAAGGAGGCAAGTGTGATGCGAGACAGAGCGAAGCACGCGAGGCGAGTTACACGCGAGGGGCGAGTCACACGCGAGAAAACGGAGGAGCTTCTTTTTGCGCGTGTTTTAGAAATAACCATGTGCTATACGGAAATTTTTCTTTTGGTGATTATCTTTCAGGGATTTAAGTGTTTTGGCATTCAGTTCTACGGTGAATGTTGGTCTGGCCTTAACGCATGCGACACGTACTACAAATATGGCCCATCGGATGAGTGTTTCTGCACAAGTGATGTTTCGTTAAATAGCACCTTTCCGAAGTACCAACCAAATTGTCTAGGGCCCGTTGGAGGGCGCTGGGCCAACTTTGTTTACGAGTTACGTGAGGTATAAAGCTTTTTTCAATCGAGTGTCGAAGGCAAAAAATAACTCGCCACTTTCTTAACCGATCAGATCGCCCATGTCCCTACCAACGTTAAGAATGTAAATTTGTTATTGTGATAAAAATGTACATACTTCTTTTTGACATTGACCAGAAGCTTTCATTTTTGTCCCTTTACAAGATAGATAGAAGCTCAGTCCATGAGACATCTTTGGCACTAGAATGTTGTTATATTATTTCTTTCTTGGAATGAGTGCTTAAAGAGTTAGAAACCGAAAAGGCATGCTCTAAAGACTTCAAAACAAGAGCTTACCTCAAACATACAAACTATTGTTCCGCTCTCTAGCACGCTCGCTTTCTACCAAAACTCCCGGACGTAGATGTCCTCGATGAGATACCGCTGGACAAGTATACACCAGTGCTTTATGCGAGATTTTAACGGCAGCCCGAGTTATTCATTCATGTCGTGTTTTAATATACTTCTTCGTAGCCGCTCTGACAAAGAAGTCTGTGCCAACCTGAAAGACCAGCTGTAACTGAGTGGATTTCCTCCAGATGCAACGTTTGCTAGGTTTTCAAATTTGTAAATTAAAGTGTACTTTTAATTCCGAGTAAGAAAACACGAACAAAACATTGATGTATCTGTGTGTTGTAATGCATTAATAAAAGGCAGGAGCCCATTACTCAATAATGGGCTCCTGTAAAAGGTCATTCCAAGCGTCGAATGACAGTCTTTTTGGTCGATTTCCCCTCGTTCTGAGAGTGTTCTGTAACAGCTCGATTATCTTTTAAATGTTTTACTCACCTGGAGCGAAACTGTCATAGTTGAGCACACTTGCAATCAAATAGCTAAGCTCGATTTCCGCTGTTCTTTTGAAAAGAGCGTGGGTTCATTTTCCAAATAGTTATTTGTTGTGGAGCCCAGCAAAATTGCAGGAACCCTCGCAATCTAAGGGTCAATCGAAGTCTAAAATAAACACAAATTTATGAGCCGCTCACCGAGATACATGTGATCGTGAGGTTGAGAAAAGAGGCTAGAGAAGATGATACTCAATAATTTTAGGACTCCCGAGCGCAAGTATTTTAAACGCTTGACCTGCACGGATCTTTCATACCGGGTAAGCTGGGAATTAGTTCATCTCTGACGCATGAGCAGTTTGATAATGACAAATACAAAATGGACGGCAATAAAGATGAGGCACTAAAATGCCGTAGACTTGCTGAGAATTATCTCAAAGAAGGGAACAAAGAGAGAGCTTTTAAATTTCTCCATAAGGCACAGAAGCTTTATCCATCGAAAGAAGTTGAAGGTAGGTGAAATTTGCGCGGAATTTGGAATAGAAGAGTGGTGAAAGAACTCATGATACGATGTCGTAACCGGCTAAAATATCATTATTTTAGTTTACTTTCTTGTACGAGCCGTGAAATTTACCAATAACCTTTAAGGAAGAGAGAAAAATATGTCAAGTTTGATTATTTCAACTCTATCCATCAGGATGTTTGCAATTTTTTTGCGATGGTGATCGTCACTGAACATTATTCAGAACATTAGCATTACGGAAGCTTACATGAAGTCCGTTTTTCTCATGCGATTAAAGTTAATGTTGAAGCGACGTTTAGAGTTATATCAAGGAATCAAAAATGGAATTACATACTTTTTATTTTTCCTTAAGCATTAACGTTCGGTCAGGACACTGTAGCCGCGACGATTAGATGTTTGAATTTTATGTTAGATTCAAGCGTGTATGTTGTGTTCGGTAAAATTAGCTGTCATCGTGAGAATTGCATGTTGTCATCCTCACGCTATAAGCCTAGGTTTATTAGATAAAGGTAGAATAACATTTGAGTCACTGATTTAAGTATGAGCCGGAGCAATTTATTTGTTTAAAGAACCGAGGTTCAGCTTGGTATGATGGCCTTTGATTTGATGGATGTAATGAATAGAAAAGACATATCCTAGTATGGATGCTTTGTACAATAATGTTAATACAGTGTTTGATTTCCTGATGACCCTGAAATTATTGCTGAAGTTTTTTCAATGGTAAATAAATTTTTCTCTGAGAGGTTATGTGGCGTATCACACTATGTTGGATGATCACATTATGTGAGGAATATACTCTGTAACTACATGTAATATTTTGGTTCACAACCTATTTGATCAACTGACTAGGAACTTACAAACCTACAGAAACTATCCCAAAAGGTGTTTGAACTTATCTGTATATTCTAGTGAGTGAGAAACTGTAAAGAAGAGAAAGGCAATAGACACATTTGGAGACTATAAAATAATTCTAAATGAGTCTTACAAAACAGATGTCATGTCATTGTTGTCGTCAACTACAATCTCTTTTTTAATACTTTGTTTAAAAAAATAAAGTAATGTAAATTAGTACTTGTCCACCTGCACAATTTTTGTGTTTCCCATGTGATAGTTAAGTGCAAGTGTTATCAAGCATTAGGTTCCCTGTGATGGAATATCCAATGACTTTTGTGCTGGTTGCAAAAATAGCATTTGTATCCATTTTCCAGATTTAATTGAAAGTTTGTCAAAGAATGGTATGTCAACTGGAGCCAAACATGAGACCAGGGATGAGAATCTACGTCACAGAGCAGCAAATGGTAGTGCCACTCATAGTGCTCCAGAGGAGAAAAATTATACACCAGAACAGGTGGAGGCTGTCAAAAAGTAGGTTTTCCTTTTATTCAATTGCATATAGTTATACAACTGTGCTTTAGTCTGAAATGAAAGCAGTTCAAAATTATTTCAAAGTATAGCAATTTGATTTGTTTCCTATTACGTTCTAGGTTATGAACCTAATTATTTTATTGTAGTGAAGATGAAATCTACTGATACTCTCCTTTTTTGTGGAAGAAATATTGATACATGTACTTTTATTGGGGGGGATTAATAGGGGTCTCAAAACAAGCTGCTGACTGTCTGAGTTCTGCTGGCTGCTTGATAACATGTTGCCAGTTACTCTGGTCAAAAAAATTCCCTTTTGGCCCTCCCTTAACCCTTTAACTCCCAAGATCTGATTGTTAATTCTCCCCTCCAGCTGTTACACATTTACTAGTAAATTAGTTATGAGAATTTGGAGTTAGATCAAGATAACAACTTCTACCTGATAAGTTTGAATATTCTCATTACCTGTTTGTTGGATAATGTAAGGATATTATAGGGAGAAGTTTCATGTTGATCACTTCTGGGAGTCAAAGGGTTAATGAACTTTCCACAGTTACCTTCTTTTCAGAGTCTGATGCCTTCTTCAAAACATTTTGAAACCCCTGGGACTAAGGGAATGTACTTTGCAGTGGGAAGGCGGGGGGGGCAGGAGTTCCCTTTTGCATTTGCACTTAAGGATAAGATTTTGAAATAACACCATGGGGGTTGGACTACATGCCTAGTTTTCACTCTTTAATATGATTATTATGATGTGCTTTTGCTGCATTTCTTAGGATCAAAAAGTGTAAAGATTACTATGAAATCTTGGGAGTTAATAAGGAAGCTACAGAACCCGAGTTAAAGAAAGCTTACAAGAAGCTTGCACTGCAGTTTCACCCAGACAAGAATAGGGCACCAGGGGCATCTGAGGCATTCAAAGGTTTGCTCAGTGATTGATTTATGTCTTTTTGATTTATCAGTTTATTAACTTGCATTTCCCTTTTAATCACAATTGTTTTATTAGTTTTCATTGCCATGCCATATACATGCAGATTTAGTCAACAGTGTATGTAGGCTGCATTCTGATGGAAACCAACAAATCTTAGGAATACAAATTTCAGAACAGTGACTTTTAATTCAACCCCCCAAAAAAACAGAAATATGCACACTCGTTGCAGTATAACAAACTGAACAACTAACAATTATAGTCTATGCTTTGCAGGAGTTGATGAGCAAGAGTTTTTATTTGTCTTGATTTTTCTCTTGAAACACAGCCATAGGCAATGCTTTTGCAGTCCTCTCAGATCCCGAGAAGAGAAGGAGATATGATCAGTATGGTGATGAGAATCCTCAGCCACAGATTTACAGGAATCATAATGATTATTCCAGAGGATTTGAAGGTTAGTGTTGCTGATCAAGGCCACAGTTACTCAAAAGTGGGACACACTAAATGTACATTGACACTACAACTTGTATTCAGTATATGATCTTAATGTATAGCCTTATTTTCTGAGGAAATGTTTTTCTTATCATGAATAAATGTATGTTAACCAGTTAGCATTATTGCTACTGACAGTGAATTTTACATTATACGTGCTGGAAAATAAAAGCAAAACTATTTGTACATACATTTATGTTTTTGTGACTACACTAGTACAGTTCACAGGCCAGTGGTCCCTTGTGTTCTTTACATAGTTGTAATGTAACTTGAATGTAGTTGGGATGTGAATGTACTTGGTACATGATCTCAGTTGGTGTTGGTGCACAAAAACATTGGATGTTATATGTATTTTTTTGTTATAGCTGATATTACCCCAGAAGAACTATTCAACATGTTCTTTGGTGGGTTTGGTGGAATTTCTGGAGGTAAGAAAAAAAATGTTTCTTTAATCAAGTAAATTGGGAAGAGCTTCATGTGTTTCCCTTTGAGAGACAGCAGTTAATGCTTTAACTCCTAGATAAAATTTGTGATTCTCCTTACTGTCAACCATACAATTCTCATAATGTTAGTTCAGAGAATTTAGTATTGGATCCACTAATTATCTCCAAAATTATATTTTCTTTATTCTCATCACTTATCTGGTTGATATTTTATTGGTATTGTAAGGAGAAATTCTGTCTTGTTCACTCATGGAAGTTAAAGGGTTAATTAAGTGTTCTAAATGTTCTCTGTTTTGACAGTGCCAGGCTAGTCTTGTTCTAGGCCTTCGTGTTGTATTCACTGGCAGATGTGCTCTGAGTCCTGACTATTTGGTTTTCATGACAAGAAAGAGAAAAAAATAGGCTACAAAACTTGGAGTAAAATTATGACCAAAATGGAAACATAAATTCTGAAAGCTTTAGTACTTTATTTAGGATTTAAGGTAGACAATCATAGATTGGATTTTTAGAGCTTAGTGGCTGTGGAGAGGGTTTAAGACCTTAGGGCAACATTTTTTGAGTCATTTTATTTTTTATGTCTTTTTGAGTCAATGGAGAATTGTAAATAGACCTTGAATTGTTTGTGGATGTAGTCCAAAACCTAGTAGTGAAGGAGAATCTAAAAAGGATGTGATCTTGGTTAAAGGATGGTGAAGTTCAGGTCTTGTTCCACACTACAAACTTGAAAATTTAGTTACGCAAACAAGGGAAAAGCTGCTTCAACAGGTTTTTTTTGTCTCACATTCAGGTCGTGTATTTATGCAGAGAAGACATAATCATGGTAGGCGCCACAGGCCTCAGCAATTTCATGAAGAGGAAGAAAATGAGCCTGTAAGTCAATGTACAGAGATACATAGGTAGCAAAAATCGAAACATTTTCTAACTCAACATCAAATTCTTTTTCTTTTTCTTTCTCTCTTTCAGCCGTTGTTGCACTCGTTATTGCAGTTTATGCCAATCTTGTTATTAGTAGGATTATCACTGATGAGTAGCTTTATGCTACAAGACCCACCTTATTCATTATCTAGAACAGGGTAAGTGCACATTCCTGTGTTGCGTGACCGGATACTTGTCACTATGATAGTAACTGTATCTGATTGGGAAAAAACGGCGAACCGTTCATAGCCCGACACGGCACCACATGGCCATACACAGCTAGAAAATACCTTACTTAGCCTCGTTTAGTCCTACGGTGAACAGCCCCTCAAAGCTGTGGAATCAAGATTGTCCAGGATGCATGAACACGCACTTTTGTTTTGATATTTACTTTGCCTTTGAAGTTTTAGTTACAGTGACTGTGCACAGTCATGCATTTCTATATGAATTAAAATTGGACGTTGTTTAGAAAGAGTAACCTCTTCTGTTAAGAACTCACTAGGTCCTTTGAATGATAATCATGACTTGGTTACAGGGAAGCTTACAATATCGTACTTTCTCTTTAAGAAAAAAATGTATGATGAATTCCTCAGTATCACAAAAGTACTCCTTGCGGTTATAGCAGTTTTGAATAATAACAATTTTTCCTTTAATTAACAAATACAATTAACGATCGATATTTCATTTTGCAGTTCCTATTATATTCGAAGAGAAACACCCAAACGCAAGATTCCCTTTTATGTTCAGGTATGTTACTCTATCTAATGATTTAATTGTTTGTTGATTTTAAAATGTTATATAAAAAGCTGTTTGTGCAGCACTTTATCCTTGCTTCAAATGATGTTTCTTTCCTTCAAACTTATCATCACTGATCTGCTGAAATGCATAATGAACCAACCGTGAAATTTTGCCACGTCGCACGCTGTACAGGTTTTCAGAAACGCACCAATCAACTTGAATTTCTTTATTCGAAAGCAAAGCAATATCGTAAAGCAATTTATCAACAACCAGTGGAAGGGACAGAGATGCGTAGGTCAATACGCGCGTACCTATACGGCAACGTAATTGACGTACATTGTATATTCTAGCGGTACAGCATTTTGGGAACAACTCGTTCCGCAGCTGAGTGTAACTGTGTTTTCTGATTTTTATTTTCTACACCATACAGGAAGGATTCGAAGATCAATACGAAAATAAAATTCATATGATAGAAAAAAGAGTGGAAGATGACTACATAGGCCGACTCCAGTCCCAGTGCTACAGAGAGAGACAATACAGTGAGTATAGACGTAACCTGCAGCGATCACTGTGATGAATAATCATTATGGGGCGTTCAGTGGCTATTAAATTGAATGCAAATGGCTGGGCTATCGTAAAGCGACCTTTCTGAATAGACGTTGAAAATTGCCTCGAGTTTTAATCTTTTGATCGAAATTTTGAGGTGCCTGGTTTCTGTTTTCCCTAAGCGAAATTCGCTGTTACTTTGTCCTTGAGTATTTTACTGTTAGTTCAGTTTCATGTATTGTTGCATTACTGCAAAAAGCTGTTTTCAAGTTTTCATTTGCGTATGTTTTCGAGAATACTTTCATTTGAATGCCGTAGTTGCCACTCGTAAGTAAGAGGAATCATCAGAAAAGACTATTGGGTAACCAGTGTTAAACACTGAAACGTGAGTAATCATGTTGCGATTGGGTTAAGTAAGTGCGTTACTTTGTGTCAGGAATTTGCGCGAGATTTCGAGATCAGTCATGAAGCACAATCAAGGAAAGTGCCATCTATCACGTGAAAGGGTTGATTTCTGAAATATCACGCAATCTCCTCCACAGAGCATTACATGGCGAACTCATTAACGGCTTTTGTGAAAGCTTTGTGTCATAGAGCGCTCACTTTCACTCTGAATTATCACCGAGAAACCTAAATTGAATCTTTCCACAAATAGGCTGAAAAGTTGTTAACACCTTCACTTGATTTCAGAGAAAAAGAAATTATTCCTGTTTGCTTCGGAAATTGAAATCCATCAAGTACGTGCTTCGGGTTTTGCGATAAAATTATAATTCAAAGACATTTTGTCCGGTTCCCGACAGGCTTTGTCCATTAGCTTTACTCTGTGTATCTTATCTCAGCGGACATTAATTCACCCCCGTGGATTTAATTTCTAAACAACGCGATTTTCTTTGTAATCGGGCTCAAAAAACTGCAAAAATGAACTCAGCTTGACTTCACTGGCGTTTGTTTTTTTGATCTGCGTCTCCTCAGAACAATCAGTTTGCTTTAGAGATACATTATACATTGCCCCCGTTTTTCATTGAAATATTTTTTCCGATGCCGAAGGAAGATTATTTCCGTTTTCATGAAAGGTTCTTCGCCACAGGTGCAGATTCATGAGAGTTTTCTTCTTTCTTTTATATACCACTTTCGATTTGCCCTAAATCAAAGTTATTTAGATTATTTTTTCACAGAAATCCATTGATCATTTGCTGTATTTGCTCCTCATTTTATCGTATTTACTTCTGTTTTCATTTCTGTTTGCAAATTACATTTTTCTTTGCCACACTTCTGTACAAATTTTGTTTTTGTTTGACTTTCATGGGTAAAACTAATTAGACAGCGTCGTGTGCCCATTAAATGTTATTGTCATTTTTACATTATCGTTTTTTCAGTGCATAATCGCACATTTTAAAGTGAAAATTTGACAATTTTTCCCTCGACGTTTTTTTTCGCTCAAAGGCGCTAATGGGCTGGCCTTTGGAACTAACACACACAAACAAATTCCCTTCTTCAACAAATTTTAAGAAACACGCAGTTCCTTGTCGCCATTTCAAGGCAAGATTACCAACAATTATAATCCATCATCAAAGAAGCAAATCCAGTTAAGTGACTTCTCCGCTAGGACATCGTTTCGTGCAACCTTGTTTTCACAGAATCACGCATTTTGCTTTCCCTTTCTTGGTCGATTTTGCTATGGCGGCTCTCACTGCTTCATCTAGCACCTCCATGTAACCTCTTTGTTTCAGTGCAGAACATTCGATGTACTTTATAGCCCCAATTTTTTTCGCCATTTTCTTGGCTTCCTTGTGAGTGACTTGCCCGGTTGGGCGCTGGCTGCTGTGGCCTTTCCCGCGCTTTTTACTCTCTGTAGCATCGCGGAGATCCAACTTCGTCCCGATAAGAACGATGGGAGTTCGTGGAGCGAGTTGCTTGACCTCCTTGAACCATCTTGTCTCGGCATTGCGAAACGATTCTAAATCGGCAATAGAAAAACACACGCAAAACACATCAGTGCCAGGATAGTTCTGCTGTCTAGCGCTATCTTTACCCTCATGGCATTCCGTATCCCAGAGCTCTAGTTGATAAATTTTGCCGTTGACGTCCATGTTGGCAATGTAGGCGCTAGTGAACGATTCTACCTGTTTTCGCGACAGTGTATTTGAACTGTAACACAGCTGCAGGAGTAAACATGTCTTCCCGATGCCGTTGTCGCCGAGGAAAACACATTTAACCTTTCTTTCGATGTCTGTGGCTTTGTCAGTAACGACTGTAACTCCCTCGACCATATTTTCAATTCGCGAAGATGGCACCTCGTCGGTTTTCGCTCACAGAAAATCCGGAAATTTCGTCAGAGTTTCACTATCGGTTTCGTCGCGAGCGATGATTGACAAGCCGCAAATATCCTTGAGCCGTGTCAAATATCAACCGGCGCGTGATTTTCGACCTTTTCGTTGCTGTGTCGTGTTGTTATTTGGATGAAATTTTGGATTTTATGCTCTTCATAATCAAGGAAATGAATGAAGACCGCACCGTAGTCTGAGCAGAAATCACACTGGCTCTCGCGTTCGGATTATTTGTAAACATTGTGTGATATGTGATGACGTTGTGTCGCTATTAGCATATGCTTCGGACTGACAAGCAGTGGAAATAATTAATATCAAGAAAATACCTCCCATTTAATTGTTCTTGTTGTATTTCTATGTCAAAAATTTGGATTTATATTCAACTCAGAACATTTAGACAATTTTACAGCTTTCTGCTTGTGACAGAAAAATATTTAAAAACCTCGGCTTTGAATTATTAATAATCGCGATTGTGTGTGTGATTTTAAATATTTGCTCTTGTCTCGGCGACTAATTTCCATTTTGTTCCATGAGCCTGTTATTTTTGGTAAAGTTACGTTTGCCAAAAGCATTCCAATCATTCGGATCGTTTTCATTTCATCAGTGCAGTATATTTACTTTTAAATAAAAAAAAAATCATTCGGGTTATTATTCTCAATGTTCCACTTTGTATTCAGCTCTGCAGGATTCCCCTTGTGTCCGTATAAATAAAAATTCTTCTTAGATCTCTGTAGTGTTATTTGGCGAATTTTGGATTTTGCCAGACATGTTTTTCGGAATATAGCGATGTCCTCGCGTGTGAGGCATCTTTGCTTCTCTACAAACACTGTGCAGTAACGTTGTATCTCGATGATGCTGTATAGACCGCGATTGATGAAAGCTCTTCGATACGGCTCTCTTGCCGTTGTTTTATCATTGAAATATCTTTCAATTTAAAGTTTTGTCAATTTGAAAATGAACGTAAACAAGCTCGAATATATCTCGCCCGAAACCAATATAATGATATTTAAAGCTTAAAAGATTTGCATATTTTCCTTTTCTTTCCACCAGTAGACAATTTCCTTTGTTACTGATCGCTTTGTGAGCAAATAACAGGATTTAGTGGTTTCGTGTAGTGGTATCAGAAGTTTATCCAATAAATTTATTCCGGATTTAGCGAACTTAAACTGTTATTTTTTTTCCTTCCTCGGTATTTATATCCCCGGATTAATATACATAAACTCAACTGGAAGCAGTCAAAAATTTCTGCCCTCGGCCTTCACTCTTTTTGGCAAACGGAAACGCAAGCGCGTAAAAAGTTCGGGTAGCTTTCGTGATCTCCTCATTTTATTCAGCACAATGAAATTTGAATTCAAGATTTGTATTTTCATTATTGTTTTGTACCGTAAATGGAAGGATAATTTACGAATTGTTAAACTAAAAACGAATATTTAACAACGAGCCACCTGGCTTCGTTCATTCAAATTCCTTTTCCTGATGATCAGCTTATATCGTAAGCAGACAAAGTAAGGGGGCGCTGTACTACGAAACGGTCAATCTCAGCTAAAATGTTGGCGGAAAATACTCGTAAATTCTTCGATTCATAACTTTTGACCCCTAAATCCACCCTGTGATGGTCAAACAAGTATGGTTTACTTACCTTTAGCTTTCCATGTTATCTCTAGTGATTTGGTGGGTTTTTATTCCCGACCCACCCTACCCCCCTCCCCCCTCTCTTTCTCTTCACTGACGCTCCTCAAGATATAAGAGAGAAAGATGATTTTCCCAGCGGAAAGGACACTTATCAAAGAACTTCAAAAACTTGCTGGAGTCGGAAAACATTATAGAGTGAGAGAGAAGGAAAGGGAAGCCGATTTGTGCTCTTCATACCGTCCAAGCTTGCGAGCAAGCTCTTGTTATAAACGTTTCAGTGCGAGCATTTCCTCGACCGCGAATAATTTTAAGGCCTTAATTAAGCAACGCTTCCTGGCGAGAGGTTAATTTAGTAATTTAGTACCTGGAGAAAGGTTCGATACTCATTATTAGTGCCAGGCCCCTTGCAGGCCTCTCCCCGGCTCGCTTTGTTCATGGCCTTAACCCTCAAACCCCTAAGAGTGACTAACATCTAATTTCTCCTTACAACATCACCTCTGAATCACACATCAAGGTCATGAGAATAAAGGAAATGATCAGCAACTAAAAAAGCTCTTGATTGGTAAACAAATTCTCCTTGTTAGCACCTCAGGAAATGTATAGAGAACAGGAAGGAGAAAATACATGCTGATGATAGCAGCACTGATCATGAGTACCTGCTCACAGGCTACACTGTCCCGACTGATTTTGTCCGGGAGTGAAAATCTTTCATCAAGTTTCTAACACAGGTTATATTCTTTTCTTCCTTTCGCAGGAGAAGAAGTGCGAGCTCGTGCCCGTTTTTGGCGAGATCAGGCTCTACTGAATCGAGCAAATGCAATGCCGATGAAATCGTGTGAAGCACTGGAAAAAATTCCCGTTTGATACAGTCGCTGAATGGTCAATTCTTTTCATAAATAATCAAGGCTACCGTGTTTTTTTTTTCCTTCTTTTCGCTTTTTCCCGGTGTGGTCGGTTTTCACAGAAACCAACTTTCAACTTAGTCAATTCGGTAGACCTAGAGAGAGTTTCGGAAGACTATTCTATTCCCAAAATGTTGATATTTGAAACCCCAAGATCTGAATGACGAGTAAATTAAGGAAACGGTACTTTTTAAATGTTGTAACATAACGAAATTAGTATCCTGTAAAGGCTGCGTTCACACGTGGTGCCTGAAAACCTTTGTCGGGCGTTCGCACCAACAGCCGATGAGGTCGTAATCGGCTGTTGTGTTTGGGCACATGGTGTTTTTCTACAGCCTGTGACGTGAAAGAAAATAGTCCAGTTTTAGTTTGCTTTCCATGCAAAAAATCATTATGTTAGTCGCGGGACGGCATTTTCACCGACGTCAGTTCATAGATTTTTAATTATGTGCAGAATAAATGTATAAGTTGAACCAGCAGTATCAGGGAACAGGGAAGACATAGCTAGGAATTTTTTAGAGAGGAGAAAGGGGGGAGGGGGGGTGGGGAAGAGAGAAAATTCCGCAATTCTGCGTGAGCCACGTGAATTAGCTAACACCGCTGTTCATTCTTGCAAAGAATGAACAGCGAGGGGAGGTGGAGGTGAACCAACCTGAAGCTACGCCCCTGGGGCAAAAACGTACGCGAGTGTTATCAACGGATCACTACATATTGAGGTTCTTGATACTCTGCATAAATTTTGACCCCGTCTTTCCCAATAAATTCCGTAGCGTACAGAAAGATTAGCTGAAAACCAGACCAATTAGTCCCTTTATGTTCAGACAACTGGGACGACCGCGATCGGCCAGATAGAATTGAGTTTATGTTTCGGCCAGGTTTGACAGATACCGACTGAGAAACTCCTCCATGCGATTCTTTAAAAAAAGAAAAATAGATTTTTCTCTACTTCATGTAAATTTTTTCACCCTTTTGTTCAACTGCTGCCTATTATCTTTTACCTTGTGGTATTTGTGAATTTGAACTAGCTAGATTACTCTAATATCTTGTTAATTCTCTTGTCTATCTATATTATTTAATCATGTCGTTACAGTTATAAACTGAGAAAAAAAAAATTTATACCTGTAGTCTGGTTCTCCTCTGTTATTTAACTTGCTCTACACAAAATGGGAGTGAGCGCAGCCCTGAGCCCGCCATCTCTTCAGCTTCGTGTCAAGTTTTTGGTTGCTAAATACCAAACCGTTGGCATGAAAATTGAGTTATATTAAGCTGAAAATTGGTGACATTGTACAACCCCTCTCAAAACGTTAAGACTAACATAAAAATACCCGGATCAAATAATTGTTCGTAAGTTAATGCAATTGTAAGTAATTGTGCTTCCGTCAAAGCGACAAGACTTTTCTAGCCTGTTTCACTCACTTTGGTCCGTGTCAAACGAAATCGTCCAGCACGGGCACTACAAGCCTAATCGAGATGTATATCCTTAGCTGCATGTATTACAATTAATGGAACTCACGGATAAGCTGGAGACTTCAAGCATACGACCTTTGTTCCGGCCGAAAAAGTTCGCCCGTTATTCCTAGATAGTGCTTTAAGAGTTTTATCAAGCTGAATTTAGCGGTTCTTTGAAATAAAAATAACTTAAATTTTGAAGTGATTCGCGCTTTTGAACAGCTTCGACCCTTGTATGCTTTGAAGAGACCTCACGGTGCAAGAGTTCACTGCGCAAGTGAAGGTTAATTTTAATTACTTTCGCAGACACAGAAGTGAATCATGTGAGTAGCATGTGCTGCACAAATCTCGAGTTATCATGATGTGATCAAAAGAGGTTAAAGAACGGAATGAAATGACTCAACAATTTCATGGATGCGTCAATCTTCGGCGACAGACGTCACATATTTGGTTAAGTTTTATCCGGAAATTAGTCATCGTGGTAGAAAAAGTCTAATTTCAGATTTTGACATTTTGGGTATTTTCTTAAACAAAAAACATTGTCCTTTGAGTTATAGGGCCGTGAAGACGTAAGTCGTAGAGGGTGAACAGTCAAACACAGTCAAATTTTACCTATCCGTAGACTATTTCATTGGAATTCCCATTAAGGTAGGTAGCCATCTTACTGTTTGGGTAGCAGCTCCTTGAAAATTTTGCACTAATCGTCTGAAATGATGGTAGACAGGTAACCAGTTTGGATGACTGAGAATATTACCTGTTAGGCTTACATGTACTTCCGATAATTATTTCTCAACCTCTACCAAAAAGTTATCTTTTCGCATTTAGTCTATAGAAATAACTTTCCCAGTGACTCGTAAATCTAAGTCGTTTTCTAGCTAATGAATAACGATTGACAGCTTTGCTGTTTGTGGGTACCAATAATCATTCTGGTATTTTTGAAGTGAGTTAAAGAAGGTACTTGATTTGGGGCAGATTTTCCAGTGTCTTTTGTTCTTAGCAGGAACCGCGCAGGCTACGTTTCAACCCGTCACTCTGTGAGACGTCTGAGCTTGCCTGTAGAATAGAGGTGTAGTGTTTTTCGAGGTTACCCACGAGCGACTCATGATAATCACTCGTTAAATTATGAGCAGTGATACGATCATGTGCAACACATCATAAAAGGAACCAAATCACTTTGAAAGATGTTTGAAAAAAGACGCATGTAATGAAATAACAAAATGGAAGACTATTCATTATTCTGGCAATTAGCGCATGCTCTTTTGTATTGAGAGGGAAGCTTAAAAAAACAATTAGGAAACGGAGACAAAATCAGCTACGTTGGCGCGCATGCTTTGTACTTAACTGATCAGAGGGGGGCCTACCTCGATGTTAAAGACCGACGAAGTACGTCCTGTCCGGCCCAACCTAACTCAGTCAATGAGTGTTTTGTCAAATGACCGACAGTCTTTCAAGTTCGTCCTTTTTTTCTTGCCTGTTTTCATCCTGCATCTCGCAGGTTCGTATGCTCTGCTACTCTCTTTTTTCCGGCTCCACTTGCGCCTCCGCGTGTGTCCCTCAAGAGGGGACTATTCATTCCTAATGTTTTTCAATAAAGGCTCGCTAGAGGCAAAACGAGTCACATGATAATATCGTAGTAATAATAATAGGGATAACAAAACAAGGCATTGTTAAAAATGTGCTAAATTTAGAGATTCTTAACAAATGGATAATAGGTCAGATGTTCATTTATTTTTAAAACAGTCCATGTCATCTACACAATAACGAGGTCAAGACGTTTTTTCTTTCTTTCTTTCTTTCTCGTTTTATTTCGCCGGTCAAGCCAAGCCCTTTCTTACCTTATTTTGAATTTTTTTGTAAAATTGTAAAGCAACTATCATAATGGGAACCTGTGCTTTGTCTGATGTGAAATATAATTATATGTTCCCATGGAGAAAACTGTTCGTGCTGGTAGGTTTTAGTAGTATTTGTCTGAAAATAATTTACATCTCACCAGGGGTTTATGAAACAATATTTAACTTTGCTATAAATCAATCGAACTCCCTTTTACTTCGAAAATGTGTTTATTGTAATAAATCTTCAGTCTACAATGAACGTTTTGCGCTTGAAAATTTTTTTCTAGTTCGTCCTTGATATAAGACTGAAAAAAGCATTGAAAACGTACTTTTCTTCTAGAATTAAATTATGAAGCTGAGGAACAGATGGAGTTAGGGTTTATAAAACTTTGACAACTAATTTGCTAGCCGTTTAAGGTTCATTATCGCGGATCTTTATTCTATCGTTGAAAAGTGTTTTATTTGTGAATAGATTGCAATTAGAATAGTTAATGACGAAATTTTTTATTAATATTCATATTCATTTAAATTTAAAATCCCTGATAGAACGAATACAATTTAAACTTGGTATTTCACTCTACTTAACAAGTGGTTCATTTTTCAAGACGCCTAAAACACCAGCGTGTTTTGAAAATGTCGGTTAATTTGTCTTTGAGTTCCCTAGACACTGAAGTCTTGGCTTCACAGCTTTCTAACCGATCAAAATCTACAGCGGCGGTCGAAACGACTTTCTGCGTCGTTTTGAATATTCTGGCGTTGTTGCTCAACATGATCCTCTGTTGGACCGTTTACAACAACGAACGCCTTCGTCGAATCACAAATATCTACGTTTTAGCTTTAGCAGCCGCGGATCTTCTCATGGCCTCTTTAGTCATGCCTTTTCTGTGCGATGTTTCGGTCAAAGGAGGTTGGACATTTAATTGGTTTCCATGTCAGTTTCAAGGATACTGGTGTGCTGTGTTGGCCTACACTGCTCAACTTTTATTTCCTCTTGCCGCTATCAACCGTTACACAAGAGTTTTTCATCCTAAAATTTACGTCACATTTTTTAATGACAAGAAGTACATTTTATTATCGATAGCTGTCGTTTCGCTGTGTGCCCTAACCGCCCCTTTGCCGTACCTTCTTCGCGGGCACGAATTCGCTTTCCATCCAGGAATGATGATTTGTTTCTACACAATCGCGAACACTAGAGAAAAACAGGCCCTATACAGAATCATTTTTTTCACGGTGTTACCCATGTTTGTGGTGACGTTCTGTTATTTTCGCATTTACCGCACCGTAATACGCCATACTAAACGCTTCCAAAACAACGTCACAACGTCTGCCGTGCGAAACGCTAGCGCTACGAACAAGCTGTCATCCGATGAAATTGTCATCACTAAAACATTATTTGCAATAGTTTTAGGGTTTTTCGTTTGCTGGACACCGCTCTATATCATCACGTCTATTGACACAGCCTTCGAAGGATATCGCTTACCAAGACAGGTTTATTTTCTGGCTACCTATTTCGTTGGGTTGAGCAGCATTGCCAATCCTATCATTTTTGGATGTATAAACGCAAGCTTTAGAGAGGAGTGCAAGAATTTAATTGACGCTTTGAGGCAAAGACATACAGATAGAGTGCGAAATATTTGACGAGCAGAAAAGGTTTCTTTTAAACTTATCAACAGCTTAGAAACGAAAATAGAACCTGAGTCTTTAAACATTGCGTGATACATTATTTGGCACCTTTACTTGATGTATGGAGATAACATTCGCTTTGCTCTTTAGGAAAATGTGTTAAATTAGGGATGCTAAATTAAAATATTGAGTTTTGCAAAATGTTTCCATTTTATTCCAAACTTTCCTCTTATACCATGCTTTTGTCGACAAAAAATTGTCACCGTGGATGATGATTAAGAGAGTACTAAAATTTGAGTTACATTTATACCGCGAATATTTCCTTGGTTGACGCAATTTTACATAAGCAATGATGAAAGCTAGTCAATAGTACTTTTACGGAAAACTGGCAAGCCAATTTTAACAATGATCTTACAATTTCCCCGGCGGGTGTTCCTAAGAAGGACAAATTAGCCAAAACCAATGATCTCAGTCCTCTACTCCTTCCAGAAGCTAGGAACCTTTAAATTCTCTCTTTTTTATTATTTATTTCTTTCTTTCGTGCGTACTGAAAGGGAAAACTCGAAGATGGGCTAGAAAAAAACTTGTCAATGGAAATATTTCATTCGTGACTTCGTGTTCTAATGTCTTACTGAGGGCTTAAATGTTAAAAGGAAGCAGCTTGGAATTAAAAGGGTTTAACTGCAAAAACATACGTCGTAACTCGAGGGGTGACTCAGTAATTAGTATGCTAAACTCGTTTAAGGCCAGCAGGTCGCCGGAGAAGCATCGGGAAACTCGATATCGGAGATATCTGGAAAAAATATTTGCTTCCGATCGCTCTGTAAATTACGATTTTCCGCCTAGCTTGTGATATTTGATGTCATTTTTGTAAATCAAATTGAGAACATATTATTGATCTTTTATAGCAGGTAAAAAAATATAATTCACGGAATTGTCACTTCTTTGCAATGATCTTGGTTTCAGCTATAATGCGATAAACGTATTTCCGTCCTACAAAAAAAAAACAGCCATAATGAAAGGGTAGAATATAAAAAAGATCAAATGGCGCCTCCTGTGTCAAATTAACGAATTTTTCACTGAGTGGATTTAACATTGGTCTTTTTGTGCATGTGGGTGTCTTCTCAATATCCTGTTTTGAAACTCACAGCAGCACGACTGGTGTAGTTCTGTTTTTATTACCCTTGGTCAAGTGTGTCTTGAACTTTGAACAAGAACATGAACCAACTGGATATTTTAATAATTTCTGTGCCTTCATTTGTGTCACGACCGGTGCGATTTACATTTCTTACCTAGCTTGCTACGTGCTTGAGGCAAGCTTGGGCAGGAATAGAATTAGATTTCACTGTTAATTATAAACGGTAGCCTTGTCAGCTAAAAAAGCCGTCGTGAACTGAAATGTTTTCATGTCAGGGCAATGCAATACCACTGATAAAGGTATGAGTTGCAATGGAAAAAATAAAGTTGACAAAAACTATAGTTACCTTGCATCATACGATAGTGGTTAAGGTCAGGGTGGTCATCATACTGTAAATCATTGTCAAGGCACATCATGGGGTGAATCTTCCCTCTCATCACCTACGACAAATTTGCACCATAATGGAATATCTCTAGGTATAAGGGTCGAAACAATATCACAATCGTTAGGCGAGGAAAAGGGAAAAATTCATCTATAGACAATTCTAGAACACGCAAGGTCCTAGAAGAGAAATTCCATTTGAAAAAACTCCAAACCAACAAATAAGCGGCAAATATGGGCCTTGCAAGGAAAATATTGACATGAAATAAATTTTGATATTTTTACTTATTTATGATTTCACTTCACCTGCCGGTATTGAGACAGCCAATATTCAAACGACGAAGATAAAAATACTCTTATTATTATTATTATTCTAACTATATTCTGAGATAAAGAAAGGAGCGTATCGGTTTTGACACTTTAAAAGAGGTTGGTAGTGGGATTTGTTTGATTTTCTAAGTTGATAATTTTAATCTTTTTTGGCAATGTTTGTCATTTACCATTCTGATCTGGAAATCACGCATGGTAAAATCATGCATCTCTGAACCTTGGTACTTAAAAGGTCACATGGCAATGTAAGCTTTTAGTACAAAAAAAAAACATTTATTCAGTGCACTCTGAAAAACTTGTATCCGTTGTAAAGTCAATGCTTTTGGAATAGGTCTATCATGAGCTTTAGGACTGAATTAGGGCAAAGTTTATGGAACCATTGTATTAAGTATACAATTTTTTTAATATCATGAATAGTTTTGACATGTTTACTGCATCGCACGAAAACGTTTAAAGACACAAAGTTTTTTCTTCTTTGCAAAGTAAAATGACATTTTAGGCTTCATCTGTTGCTTTTTAACAACTGCTCACTAAATACGAAGTTAATATAGACAAGTAATCAATCTCTGAGGCAAAGAGTGGGAGATAAATCTATTTTTAAAATCTTCATCAAACTAGGGTGAAAAACTGTTATAGTATAATTGTTCGGACACTGATTATGAAAGCATCCATATCTTCTAAATTTGTTTCGTCATTTCATCCTTGAAAAGCATGGAGAAATTTTCAATAACTGATTCCTCATGAAGATTGCTTCAGGCAAGTTGATTACAGGATTATCTATAGTGACTGAATCTTTAATTAGTCAGAGCGTGCATATGTCTTTAATCACCCAAGCAACTCAAGTATTTTGTGTTAAACAGCTGTTTCGAGAAACTTTGTGTAATTATATAGAAACAACTCCGAAAGGTATTGTGGGTAGTTTTCAGGCATGCAAAAAGAAAATGATGAATGATAAAACACTGGTACTAATATGTCCCATAATGTGAGAAAAGTGCTTGAAAATTGTTTTACATAATAAATAAGCTAAATGTTGTCTATGGTGATGCCATCTATGCGTCTGCCCTCTTATAGATCATATCAGTAAGAACCAATTAAATTGCGTGTATATTTCAGCTTAGTATGTAAAAACTTATCATTCAAAGTATCTTAGATTTATCATCAGCCTGTTCGAGACGCTCAGTTCTTAGTAAATAAAATGGAGGGTCATGTAATTACAGAGACACTCGATCCTCAAGTTGAGATGCCATGTTTACATTCTTCAACTCAAACCATAATGAAAGATGAATCCGTTTTGAGTTGTCATTTATCGGGTAAAATGAGAAACCATTTAATTTTAGGACCTTGTGACGCTCTTATGAATTGTCGTTCAGGATCAGTGAACAAAAGCGATTTTGTTGTTTTAAGCTCAAAACTTTGAATTCAACACGCTATTTGCTATCAACTGAAAAAAAAATTCAACGGTCAAATAGAGGACTAGTTTATGATGTTTTATGGCCTAAGGAATTATTCATGAAGAAAAGGTGAACAAGCTTTTTATTATCATTATTGATATTATAACTGTTAGTATTTTAATGTTTGCTTCTAATTCTTCTGGAATCCTCATGTATCTTTTAGATTGCCTGATGATTTCCACAATGTGGCGGCAAGTTTCAACTTCCTGCGATTAAAGAAAAAACTTTGTGTTTTCAGGTAAAAATTGATAAGCTTTATCTGCCAAGCTAGACTGCGTATAAACAATACGTTTCATTCAGTAAGACTCAACATGGTCATTACGTAATACAAAATACCAAATGGCCCATTTTTTTTCTCTTGAAAACATTTATCAAGCACTAACTTCCTAATGAATTCTGAACAGAATTTCCACATTAACAACTATTCAAACATCAAGGATTCTCATCGAGTTTACGTCGACAAATTTTGCACAAGCTAAGTCTCCTGATCACGAAGTGACACATCAGTTTTTGGACAGGCCTAGGGAGACTTGAAGGGTGAAAAAATATATTTTTTCGCTATTTTCATTGCCAGGGATAAGCTGTCAATAAATTGCTGTCAGGAGATATTCTAAAGCGTATTAATGATCGTAACGCTCAAACGCTATAGACTATTTTCATTTGATTCCAATAGGCTATTTTGTCTTTTTCCGATAATAGAAAAGTTTATATTTCATAAACATTGATAGAAGTAGAAATATTCCTCAATCACTGATTGTTTTGCGGTTTTTTTTTTCAAGTTTCCTATCAAGATTGTGAATTTGTTTATATTCTCTTGTCTCTTTCTTAAAGATCTCTAAAACAATAATGCGAAAGTTACGAGCATCGTTAAAATGCGAGCAGCATGGAAATTTTTTTCTTTTACAAACCTTTTACAATTTTCCTGGTACAGGCCAATTTAGTTTGAGTTGTAATTCTTTCCGACCAGTAGAAGGTTCTAAATTAAACACGAATTGGTGCCTCCTATGCAATGACATGTACAAAAACATAACATTATTTAATATTTAAGGCAAGAATTGTAGATGGAGTATTACTAGGTGTTAATAGTGCTGAACAGCAAACGAGGTTTGAACCGCAACTTAAGTCTGTGGCCACAGAAGAAAGTAAAACTAAAACTTATTTCAACTGTTAGTAACCTAGCCTTTACATTTGTGGCTGTGGTTTGTTTTGGTTCGTAAAGATAATGTTTTTTGTTTCACGCCATGTTAGAGGCTATCATATCCTTGCGCAATGACAATGTGTTGATTGTTGCAAAACCCCAAACCTGAGCTTGTTCTGTATATTTATGGACATTACCAGTAATAAAAAATTCATAACTTTGAGGGATGTTTCTGCTGGTATTAGCACAAGGCGCCCACGATACAGTCATATTCAAGAGCCACGTCTTACAACGGTGTTTTAACGGTTCATTCTCAACTGGCATCGGAACAGAAACCATAAATCAACTGAATTTTATGACACTAGCGCCATGAACGTAAGTTTTTGAGCGAACTACGTAGTGCGAATCATTAACGTGGAAACACATGTTTTAATTTGTGGCCGATAGATCTCCGTCGCTATGAATTGCGATGGGTTACAATCTGGTCTTGCCACATGTCACTAGGACGGTTTAAATTTTACAATTTCATCTATTACTTGTTGCTAATTGCCTCGAAAGCCTTATTGCAAAGGCCTTACTTCGCTTATTTAATTGATTGGACCCGGTTCATGAGCGACAGGTCACTTACAGGTACCTCTGTATCAATATCCTCGCTAAGTCGTGAAAAGAAATCGTTTAAAACTGAAATCAGCTCAGGATTCACAAATTCAAGGTTCTAAGCCTTGAAATTTCTTAGTCATAGAACAATTTCTTTGTTTTGATAAGAGGATCAATCACGCCAAAGCTATTGGACAACCCTTAAGTAATGTTTTCATAACACCTACTGCTCAAACAAAGAAAAGGTTCGCGTTTTGACATGAATTATTTATAATAGTGCGGTCGGCATGGAGATAACGTCATAGTCGAGAGAATAGCTAAAATTAAAATCGAAAGATGCTGTAAATGAATTCACAAACAACACTGAACTGAAATTCAAATAAAAAAATATTCCAGAGTTTATATCGATCTCTTATTTCATGATAAGCAGTAAATTGTTGACAAGAAATTTTCTAATGCTATAGTTACCAAGTGAATAAAGGAAGTAGATTAATTCAGGCTGTGATCAAATGACACATGGAAATAAAGAGTTTATGTTAATTTGGCGCCGTTTCGATTTAGTGACCTGAAATTTTCGATCACCCAAACTTTCCACGAGGCGTGCAAAGCTCGCCAAATCGCAGGTAAGAAAAATGAAACTGGTAAGGGTTTTTTTCAGCGCGAGTACTTTATGCAAGTAAATCTCTGTTTTTTGTAATTGTTTTTTTTAATACTGCACTGACTAATTTTTTTGTTTTATTTTAAATGCTATTTGTAGGCTGGTCGTGGATAAAACCGCCAGGCGGATTCGATGTCTCGGGAATGGAAACCTGTTAAATGGTTGAGCGCTAGCAAACGAAAGAGAAAATGGAACCTTTGAAAAATATTGCCTTCAGAATTATCCTAATATGCGTGATCAATTTTCAGATGTGTTACAGCCAAGGTAGGTGTCTTTTGAACAAAACGATATCATAATATATGCAATGTGCGGACTAACGAGACTCACTAAGCACATGAAGTTGTACAGGGAGGACCGAGGACACAATTTTCTAAGCCAGTTAGAGTTAGTATCATCAATGACTCCAAACCACATCGTAGGTGGATAAAAGATGATCACCGCTATGCGGTTTTAATGAATCAAACTTTGAAGCCGTCGGGGAAATTTTCAAGCGTGTTGTTTGTTATCAAAGCCGCAAAGGCGGTCGCGCCAACTGCTTTTTGTAAAGTGTGAGTTATTTCTTTTAATTCCATGCCTCACTCTTAAAGAAAGAAATATAACCGAGGGCACCGACCTTAATTTTGAATAAATATTCTTGCATATTAACATAAGAACCTGCGCTTTCAAAAATTGACAACAGACATGTGAATATTCCAGACGCACTTTCACTATACTTGTTAGTTTAGTGAACCGTAAAGTTGACACAGAGCTAACAATTTTCATCGGAGCTAAATTTTCATTGCATTAACAGACACGCATTTAACTTCAAAAAAGAAATGACGGTGAAATACATTTTTCAAGATGGCTGCCTTTTTTAGAGCGACAATTTAAAGTTATTCCTCTCTATAATCGACTTGGCGAAAAACATTTGAATGACTGCTGATTTAAATATAGTATTTCCTTCCTTCCTACTAAGTTAAAACATGCTTTCAAGGCTATTTTAAGATCAAAAGTGACTGTAAAATAGGAGTTTTTCTGCGAAATATGGTAGCGAAATCAGGATCAAGATTTACTGATATGGTCGCGTAGCCTAAGGGAAATGTCTCTTTCATCCTTTTGTTACATTCACAATACAGAGTACGCGGTAGTGTTCATATGGCGTGATATTCGACTTCCGCAATCAAATAGTGGCGAAGTGAAATAAAGTTGTGTGAAATAAATTTGCTTTTCCTTTTTTAATTGTATGAGTTCTAAATTTATATTTGTATATTATTATTTGTATATAAACTAAATAAACTCTTAAATAGATGCAATTTTTCTCTTAATGCAACGTTGCTCTTAATTTTTTCTCCTAAACATCTGTTCCAATATTTTACGTAATAAAGATATTCAGCTATAGGACATACTGATGTTTAATTTACTGTAGTTGTCATTAGAATTGTTAACATGAATTACAATCTCCCCCTTACACTCTATACCTTAATACTGCTTTGATATTTCAAGCACTGACGATGTGGTATCCGGCTCCTCAGGTAGCGGGAATCAAAGACCTTCATTTCAGGCGCAGCTATTTGTCACAGTTTTTGAAAATAAAACTGTGGGTAAGTATATAGATTTGATTACTTATTAATCTAACTATTAACTTATTTTCTAAATTTCTAATTTATAATATTCTGTTTATCAATCTCTTATTTTCCGTGAAGAGGAGAGCAAAATTCCCATGGCATTCCATGTAATTTTGAACAAAGCTTTTCCGTGCATCTCAATTTCCTTAAATTCTAATTTCTTTGTTGTTCAAGGTTCATCTGTGGGGTATATCAAAGCTACAGACCCTGAAAATGACCCTATACAGTTCTCTCTGGATCCAGCCAGTCAGGATCTACTACAAATTGACAACAGTGGAAACTTGACTCTCAAAGCTCCACTAGACAGAGAGGTTGGTCATGTATCTTTATTTCAAGAGACGAAGAGAGATCGTAAATTTTGAGTTCGGTTGTCGAATATAGAAGCGCTTTTCATTTGACAATGGCAAGTGCAGGATGAAAGAGAAATCTGGTTCCTCCAGGAGGAATCGAATCTCAGACCTTTAGGTTTACTCTGCTAGACTTCAGAATAACGGAATTCATGTTTGGGCAACCCCCTCTGCCAAGTATATACTGCTTGAAATTTCTCATTGAAATAACTTTTTTTTTTGTATTTCATAGGTGGAAGATAAATATTATTTCACCGTGTTCGTTACCGACCTATGTTCTGGTTGTAACTTAGACGAACGGAAGGTATGTACTCCTGAAATTTACTCAATGCTGTTGTTATGGTAGAAAAAAAAATCCTTCTTAAGTTCCTTTCTAAGAGTAGTTAATAGGCGTCTTGAGGAGTTTTGCCTTATTGATTAAAACAACTGTAATTTGTATGTTTGGTTGCGTTTTCCTCTTTAGACGCCAAAAAAATTTACATTGATTGTCATGGACGTCAATGACGACACACCGACCTTTATAAGTACACCCTATCTGGCCAGAGTTGCTGAGGTAAGCAGATTGAATCGTTAACAGTTAATTCAGATTATTGACCCTTATGTCTGGTGTTAAGTCTCGTATTTAAACACAAATAAAAAGATGCTTAGCTAATTTCTCTCGCCCGGTTTGCTAAATTGGGTGAATTGCTGAACTGTGGTGTCGAAGATCGAGGGTCAGTTTAGCTGAACCCCAAACCTAAAAAGCAATCGAGGGTCCTTAGCTGACCGGTACAATTGTGCTGTCTTTGCAAGAACACATTGTTATGCTTAGACGTTTTGGTCTTCAGGGATAAGGAAAATTAACTGCTCATGCAGGCCCCGTCTCACTGACATATTCAATTTCATTTCATGTGGTATAAGATGCCGTTAGAGGCCCCACACACTATTTGCAAAGAGGAGGGTTATGTGTTTCGTCATTGTCAAAATTTGGAAAAAAGCAATAAAGTAATAAGGCTTCCCTAGGATCAATATCAGTATCTAGGCAACTGCCCACCTACCCTTCCCCCAACCCAACAACAGTCAATTAATAACAAGTTAGGGTTAATGTTGGGTAAGTGGAGGGGTATCATGGGTAGATGAGATAATCACTGATATAAATACTTCTATCATTTCATTGAGAAGCTTAATATTGTGACTCTTATCCATCCTTATTCAGTGAAGAATGGTGGACTTTGGGTTGAGAAATCCGGATCGAGGCCTACCTGAAAAGGGAGAATGAAATGAAGAAATAAATCGGTTTTCACTGTCTTTAGAGAAAGACGAAGAAAGCAATAAAAAAGTATACATTTAATGACAGGGATTCTCCAATTTCATAGTACACATTGTTCAAGTAATATCTCATGAAATTCTTCAACAGAATGACACAGTCGGCGATCTTGTGATTCAAGTTAGCGCCATCGACAAAGACCTAGGAGCAAATGCGGTTGTGTCTTACATGTTCAGTCCTTCGACGAAGGTAAAAGTGTAGCCTGAGCTGTGAATCGTTTTGAAACTAGTCTACATCACAGTAGAGACCTTTACATTCGAAGAGCGATATCCCTTCGACCTCCAATAGTCAAACAAAGGCCGTGTTCGAGCCTTGACCTATTTAAGCAGGAAGAAAAACAAATAGTCGTCAACATTAGAGAACGAGTTTTAGCAAAAATAATGCAGTACAGAAAACGAAACACCCACACGCCAACAGTTTTCTGGTCTTTTAACCAGGTAAGGGATCACCTTCGTCTAATGATAATAAGTAAGCCAAGTTTGTTTATCACATAAAATTACATGTTGTATATTTCCCTTAATTTCTCGAAAACCTGAAATCAAATCTCTTATTCAAAGTCTGTCCCATCGAGGTTCTCTTCAATCCGACATCATCTTTTTCCTTTTTCTATCGATTTTTAAAACAGTAAGGAGTGAGATGATTTTTATTCTTGTAGCAACTTAACGCCGTCTTCTTCTCTTAGATCAAATGCTCATGTAACAATTTTTTCTTCGCTGTGGTTGATATCTGCATTTACATTGGTACATCATGTTGATTCTGTTAAACTGCTTTCTTGTATCTGCTTTCCTCTATTTGTTATGCTTTCCTCTCTCAGCTGTTGACCCTTTCCATGTTCAAGGGGAATCTGATGTCTAGTTTTTCTTCCCTTTTATAATCATCAATTTATTTCCTTACTGAGTACTGAAAGAACTATCCTGTCAGAATTCTTTATTCGTTAAAACATCATCGGGAGTTTATGCAGCTTTGAAGTATAGTGCTACTCAGTTGGTGCCCTGCGTGAGTCCAGAGATCTTTCTCTAATGTATAAACTAAAACATTTATGTCTTATGCTTCTGGCTGTAGTCACAGTACCGTAAAAATGAAACCATTGATCTCTCTTCTAATTTCCTATTAATATTTTTCATTTATCTCTCTTTGAAGGGCTGGATAACTCCTTGGAAGGTTAGGGAGTTACTGTTCTCTTCTATTCTTCATCTTCTTCGGTTGTTTCATCCAAAATGTTATCTGTATTGTACCTATCATCTTTCATTCTTACTACTTTTGCCTGTCACATTCTCGTTTTTCTTACAGGACCTGGTTTTTCAGCCATGAGTATATTTTCTTTTTTGGTTTTTTCCTTTGTACGTGGCTTCCGGCATTAACCTAAATATTCTAGTATCAATGCAACTTTTGCGTGTTGTTCATTAGATATAGAATTATTTGACAAAGCTTGTATCCTTTGCAGACGGATACCTTTGCGATCGACAATCATCAAGGAAAAATAACTATCAATGGATCTCTCGACTTCGAGAAAGTGCAGCGGTACACGCTATTTGTTACAGCAAAGGTAAGTAATATTAAAAACTAACATTTGAACCGATAATTTCTGTCAATAATTAGTTCATGCAAGAATATCTGGAACAATCGTTAGGCGCGCGGGTTTATTAAGGTCTTGAACTACTACGCGCGTTTGCGATGAACTAACGAAACACATCTTTTTCTCTTTTTAGTTCTTGATTTCTTTTACTTTCCCCAGGATGGCGGAGATCCTCCTCTGGAGTCAAAGACAACGGTCATCGTTGATGTTTCAGATGTCAGTGATAACCCGCCTAGTTTCCTGAGACCCATTTACCTCGAGTCCATTCCAGAGAACAAACCAAAGGTACACTTTGTTTCAACTGATGCACTTGCGTTTGTATTTTCATGCTACCTTTGGACGGAACCGTACATTCGTCAAATGTATTTGATCATGAGCTTGCAATCACTGTGGTAGATGACGTTGACCTTTTACGTCAGTAGGAACTGACTTGAAACGAATTTCTACGATATCTCTTTCCTTTCCAGGGCTCCTTGATTGTTCAAGTTCAAGCAGTCGATGGAGACTCTGGTGTTGGAAATGCAGTCGAATATGAGATCATAGATGGTAAATATTCTTCAACAATAGGGTAAAACTTTTGAGGAATGTAATAATACCAGATTATAATAAATTTCGGATATAACGCGCGCTGTCATTGGTTGAAAGAGCGTATTATATCAGAGTACAAAACATGGAGCTGAGCTGAGCTAAAGCTGTCACGCCATCTGCTTATTTGTACTATGTCCGACTATTCCCGGACTTCTCTCAAGCTTTTTTTCGTAAATAGTAAGTGAAATTTCGGAACGAGCGAGCTGTTAAGTAGCAATAGAAGAACCAAACAAAGGACATGCCCAGCGCCCTGATTGACCTTACTTTATGAAGAGGTAGTAAGAAACACTCAACAATTTCTCGTACTTTTTCCCTACACTTCTTCCATGCTCTAACCACTTCCTGCGTGCTTTACAACAGAACAGAGCAGAGTCAAGGTTTATTTATTTGTCAAATTAAGGAGAGAAAAGCGGCAAAATGCACTGTATAAAATTTAACAGTCTTATTGGAATGACCCTGAACCCCTGCTTTATTTCTTGTTTTTAACCAGTGTGATCTGAATTGAGAGAAAAGTAAGCAAACAACTTCCTTCCCGGAAGCCGCCACTCTTCATAATTCATTAACTCTTTCATCAACTCACACACCATTCTATGAATTTCTGTTTCATTATTCGTTTGCCTCGTTTTGATTCACCTGTTTTTTTTTTCTTTGCTTTCCACCAGGAAATGACGGAGGACTGTTTGATATTGACAAGAGTTCGGGAAATATTACAGTCAATGGCACCATTGATGCTGAAAAGACTGACTTCTTTAGAATAACTGTCAAAGTAATATGGATTCATCTTAAGATTTAGTTTCATATGTCCAGTAAACCCCAAATGAAGTTCTTGAAAGAAAAAAGTGAAGAGCCGCTTTTTAGTTGAGCGTGTCGTAAAAGCATAGCTAGGGTAATTACAGAGTCCAATCGGAATAAAGGAAAATATTACAAATTGCTAATGAGAACAAAAAGTAAACATAAATGGCCGGCTCCAAGGCAAAGTACGTAACAGACGAAAAATTTCACAACTAGTCACAGAGCTTAGTCAAGTGCTTTGGCCCCCAATTGATCTAATGCTGATTAACGTCTGTATATTTCCCTGAACCTAACAGGCATCTGAAGTAGTTGATCCAGCTTCCAACTCCACGGCCGTAGTACTCGTAACAGTGCTGGACACGAATGACAACTCGCCCCAGTTTCTGCAGAATCGTTACGACTTTAATATTCGAGAGGATCTGGCTCAACCAGGATACGTAATAACTAATCAGTTGAACGTACAAGACAAAGACATCTATGTAAGAAATACTGCAAGAGTGTCTCATTAATAGGGTTCGTTAGGCAGAGCGGGGAAAGGAAAATATAATAACTTTATAATCAATACGATCATAAAATTGTAAGGAAGAGTAAAAAAAACTAAGAAAAGCAAATTCTGAGGGGAATGCCAAGTTAACATGCTGTATTTGCTTTGTGGATGGTTCCACGCTTGAGAATTTACTACGATAGTAAAACTTTGCATTATTTTGATTTTCTCTTCCTTTACATGTTTCACAACATCTGTTCTTCTTGACACAACTGTTACTGATTAATTACTTAACGTCTTTTTCAGCCTCAGAATCGCCGCTTCCAATATTCTTTATCAGGAGAGGACAGCAAATACTTCACAATCGACCAATCGTCTGGTCTCCTCAGAGTTAACGCGACCTTGGATTATGAGCAACATAAGGCCAACTTCTCTTTCAAGGTAATATAAATTGCAGCTTTAATTCATATAGATTTTCGAAATTTCTTTTTGTGTGCCCACAACCAGTCGCAAAATGAGTTGCGACATGTTAGCATCACAAGAGATAATTGTTCACCGTGTGATCTAACATGATGTATCCCCCTACTTCCACTTTACAATGTTGGTAGCTGAGAAGTACCACTTACATAACTTTGATAAACAACAGTGAATCGGAGAAAGGGGGCAGCAATTGTTTTTTTGCACTAAATTACTTCTTGACCATCTGATGAAGTTGGAAAACGCAATTTTTGATGGTATTTCTCGTTTTCAGTAAGCTATGGGAGGGATTCAAGCCTATGATTAATTTTATTTGTTTGTGTTTCAAGGTATTTGCAAACGAAAGTGAAAGTGAAGAGAGGCTTTCCGGTTTTGCCATCGTGGAAGTTGATTTGATCAACATAAATGATAACGAGCCCAAGTTCAACCAAAGTTCGTACAACTTCACTTACGATGAGGAAATCCATGAAGGCTTCGTGATCGGAACAGTTATGGTGCGTATTTGCTATTCCTTTCTATTTTGTTTTATGTTTGTTGATGTCAGTTCACGTTTCCGCTAGAACTTTGGCGAATGGGATCACCCATTGCATTTGTACCGATTGGATTGAGTTGCGATAAAAATAGAGCTAAATTGATGGAATAAACGTGTGAGAATGGTCAAACATCGTGACATTCTAGGAAACGTACATCCTCGGGAACCCAGGGGCTGTGAGTCGATTTCAAGTCATGATCAGGGCGGGAGAGCTTTGGAGGATGAAAGATGTTTTCTCAAAACTACAAAATTTTCAGGATTATGGAACTTCTTGACTGCTATATGTACAGTACACTGCCTCTTATTTTACCAAATTCGGTGACATTGAGTGCTGAGATTCCAATGCAATCCTTTTCATTTTATCTTAGGCCACAGATGCTGATCTTGGTTCTTATGGAGAAATAAAATATGAGTTGTATGGCACTGGTGCAGCAAGGTAATATTTGATATATTGAATAGTAATTATAAAGAGTCTTGCTGATCATTGACAAGAGCATGATCATTTGAGAACTGTGGGAGATGTAGTGACTTAGTGGTTTGTGCTAAGCTTCTGATCGTATTGTCTGGCTTTAACCTCCATCAGAGGTCTCTTTGATTTGTTTATAAGCATATATCTGAAATCCCATAGTGTTTTTCTTCCCACAAACTGTTAGAAGCACCGGTAAAATGTCTTTGCTTATTTATGTATTCTCCGAAGTTAGCGAAAGCGACTTGACTGGAAACGACAGCAATTCAATACTCTAGGTAACCTGTGATAGACCTCCACAGCGCAAAGACGGTCTGAGACATATTCTCCAAGTGCATGCAGACTCTTTTAATTATTATTATATTGTTTTTCTTGATGCAGCTTCACGGTAGACTCCTCAAATGGTTCTATTCGCGCGAGCAAAGTACTGGATTACGAACAGAACAAAGAATTCATGTTCTTCCTGCTCGCCAATGATGGTGGAAGATTTTATGAGGAAGACAAAACTTACGTGACTACAATCCGTGTTTTCTTGAGAGACGTTAATGATAATGATCCTGTGTTTCTGAAGACTCCATATGCTGTGGAGATCATGGAAAACCAAACTGAAAATATTTTTGTTTATCAGGTCAGTGCCTTTATTTTAATAAATGAGACCCTCCGAGAATTTTAACCGGGTAAACGGAATTCAGATTCTTTAGCGATTTGGCATCTCAAACTGATGCGGGTAATTTTTGCCAGCATCGAAACAACATCCTTCACTTTTACAGTGTTATTTATTTAGAAATTATAACTTTTGCTTGTTATTATGGAGAAGTGTCACAACCATCTTGCACAACCTAATGTGGCGCCTTATTAAAGGACACCCGCTTCGCTTTAAGCCTCTCCTTAATCCTAGAATTATCAAGAATCATACCTGCAGGTCCAGTTTACTTGAAATGTCACAAAACATGCCAATTACAGAGGATGCAGTTACCAGTCTCCGTGTCACGGAACAAAACGGAGGTTAACTGTAATAGCGAAGGACGGAAGTCATACCGTCAGGAAATCTCAATATATACGAATCGAAAGGCAAGAGTGAACGAAGGCATGCTCAATACGGTGATGAATAACGCTGTGTTCTGTTCATTTTTTAGGTGTCAGCATCAGATTTAGACTCCGGAGATAATGCACGGGTAAAGATTTGTTTAAAAGTGTTTAATGTTAATGTTCATTGTTTTCCGAGTTTGAAGCACAGGCTGGCTGTGAATGGAGCTGTAGTTGTAACGAAGATGAAAGCCTACTGAAGTAAACAAACTAGTGTCATCAAATAAAATCGGGAAAGTGTAGTATGGGCTCCTAATGGTCCATAACCAATCAGAAAGCAGTATGAAACAATAAAATTGGGTAATGGACCAATCAGATTTAGGTATTGGAGCCCGATATGGCGCATGAGAATTGCTCTATGATAGGTTACGACCAATCACAGCCTCAGTTACTATTGTCATGGTTTCGTCAAAACAATTGAGAGGGATTAACTAATTTAGCGATGGTGAAACTCTCAGGGTAAAACTACAGTCAAGGACTATTTTACCGACAGGTAGAAGATATCTCCATGAGGAAGATGAGACTAATTGTTAATTAGCAAGCTTGATTCATTTTTTTTAGCGAGAAATATAATTATGGTAATACAATGTTTTTCTTTCGATGTGACTGTGTAGATTTCCTTCAACATAACGGATGGCAATACTACAAATGCCTTTGCAATAAATGAAAGTGGAATAGTAACCACTACGCTGAAACTAGACAGGGAAACAGTTTCCTCGTATTCGCTCATGGTATGTTGTTGAGATCTTTCTTTATTTTTATGTTTTATTTGTTATGCAGCAAAATGCAAAGTAGCAGAAAGTTCGTGGATCCCTGTAGAGATCCGCTCTTGGGGAAAGAGGCTTGTCTTATTCACAACGTATGAAATCCTGGGTCGTCCTGTTCAGACGTAAACAAAGCTCTATGAATCAAGGATTGTCGGAAGCACAAAATAGGCCCAAAATGATGAATCGTATCACTAAGAAATCAAATTATTCTTACTTAATTCACCAACGGGTTAGATCATTGAATCAATATGATTTTTCTTCTTTTTTATCAGATCATGGCTTACGATCATGGCGATCCATCCAGAAGTACGAAAACTATTTTAGCTGTTACGGTCCTTGATATAAATGACAACCCACCGGTGATCTTTGATGGACCATATCTGACAGCAAACGTTAGCGAGGTAGGTCTACGATGTTAAGTGAATCAAGAGCAATTAAAACTCTTCAGGCGCTTATGTGGTTTTTATCTATTTTGCTTTCGAGATGGTGGACTCTTTCCAATTACATGCCTCATTAAAATTTAGTCGGTAAATGATAAACAATCCCGTGTCGAGAGCGCTCTCCTCCTTCTACCGAGGTGGTAAGGATTCAATATTCGGACCTGGCATCGCATATGGATTGAGTGTGTTTTGATTCTAGACCTAGAAGCTCAAAATATTTTTTCTCAAGGAAGTCTGGTTCGTGCTGTGTTCTAAAACGATAATTTGGCCAAGAAACAGAGGATGAAGAGCCACTGCAGAGCATTTGCCACAACTAAATTCTGTGTATGTCATTTTATTTCGTTACATTTTGCAGGGTAAAGGTGGAGGAACAATAGTTTACACTTTCCAAGCTTCCGATCAAGATGAAGGCAGAAACAAGAAGTTAACATACGCCATTTCTGCAGGTCAAAATGGAGAATTCATCCTGAACAGTAACACAGGGGTGCTGCAAATATCTCCAACAGGCCTTGACAGAGAGCTTCATTCCAGCTACAACCTGACAATAAATGTTACTGATGGAGGAATTCCAATGTTGTGGGTAAGTTAGGTCTATTAAAAAAGAAAATACACAGTACGAAGCATGGTCAGGGAAGCTCTCTGGAAAATTGACCATAATTTATCTCATAAACTTTGCATTGATTGCAGGGCTACTCTATGCTACACATTAAGATACTGGACATTAATGACAACTCTCCGGAGTTTGTTCCCAGTCCTTCAGGCTCACTCTCAACCTACATCAGAGTTATTGATGAAGGACCAGATAGCATCAATAGAGCCATCATCGATGTTAACGCTACAGACAAAGACGACGGAACAAATTCCAAGATTGTATACACCCTTTCTGGGGATCAGCATGGGTATTTCCATCTAAACTCATCGACGGTAAGGTTAAGAACATTTGTGAAAAAACGAATTAGGTGAAAAAAGGATAATTCAATAATACAAGAAAGAACCCGATACCAACGTTGTCTTAAAAATGCAGCCTGTTTTCCTTCCGTGGTCATATTTTTTGAAACTGGTATTTAAGGTTTTAATCCTTTGATGAATTTTGATTCTTTGTGTCACTATTCGATAAGTTTTTTAACTATTCAGTTTCTCAACGAATAATTAACTGATTGATTGATTAACAATGTGGCGTGTATTGTTGAATACTAAATGACTTTCGCAACATTTCTTTAGGGAGTTTTATATGTCCGTAAAGTCCTGGATCGAGAAAACTCGGAGATGACCTTAGATGCACAAGAGAGAGGAGTGTTTTCTCTCGATATTACGGCTACGGACCAAGCTGAGCCTGAAAATACTCGAAAAAGTTCTACCGTGAGGGTAAGAAAAAATTTTACATCCTTTTATTGTCTTAAAAATGATGTGATAGTTAAATCATATATGAATGATACATTAGTCTAGTGCTCATTGTCTCCACAAAAGGGAATTCATGATAAAGGATGTACAAAATCAAGAATGTTAAAAAATGATCTTTAATCTACCACCTGCTTCATGTAGAAGAGACTTATTCTTTTAACCATTTATTCTTGTTTCGCCAATCCTACAGGTCACCATAATAGTCAATGACATTAACGACAACACTCCTCAATTCGTTGATCCACCCCAGTCCACCAGCATCAGCGAGGCTGCTCGGCCGGGAAGTAACGTGATACAGGTCCCCGCAGTGGACAAAGATTTAGGATTTGCTGGCAAAGTTTTTTATAATATTACTGAAGGAAATAGCAATGGTATGCTGATAGAATATGTAACATTTAATGACAAGACCTTGTGGGGGCACCAATTTTTTAGTGCACCGATTTTGCTGTGATTTCCACTTGTAAATGTTGACATTTAAATGCAAGTCTGACTAAGGTGTGAAATTGATGAAAAATAGAGGTTAAGCAGTTTTATCGAAGATCTTTTCTTCTACTCTTTTAGGAAATTTTGAAATAACGCCAGGCGGCTACATTCTTGTCAAGAGATCGCTGGATGCTGAAGTAAAATCCTTGTATAACCTGACTATTGAAGCAAAAGACGAAGGCCAACCAAAGAGATCCAATAAAGTTAGTGCATCTCTTCAACCCAGCTCCTAGAGATGGAAAATTGTTACTTTTAAAATGGTCCAATTAAAACTGTCTTAGTCTTTTCAGCGGCTGGTTTGTGTTGAGCTATGGGAGAGCGAATGCCTTAACAAAGAACGCCAGCGATGGCAGAGAGTCAACATCTTCGTGACAAATCACTCGAATAGCACCAGAACCTACCTAATACCCTTATCTCGCAGAGGAACCTAATGTAGAACCTACAGTAGCTTTTTCGGTGGAAAATCAAATTGCTCCCACGCTCTTTTGTTTTATCTCAGGTTATTCTAGTGACGAGTTTTTTTTTTTTTTCTAGACGGTTGTGTCTATTGTTGTAGACGATGTGAACGACAACGATCCAGTTTTCAACCAGTCCACCTATCATGGTCGCGTGTTAGAAAACTCCAACGTGAGCACGCTTGTTGCAAAAGTGTACGCAACAGACGAAGACCAAGATGCCAATGGTCGAGTGTCATATAAGATCACCAGTGGCAATACTGGGGAGGCATTTGCAATTAATAATAAAACTGGAGTGGTCACTGTAAAGGGGTCCATAGACAGGGAAAAGATGAAGGAGTATATTCTAAGCATACAGGCTGAAGATGCTGGCCGTCCCTCCAGTAGGAAG